CACATTAATTCTGAAGAACAAAAATACTGTTTACTTTTAATAAAAACTTGTTAATTTGAGGGTTCAAAATTGTGCTAACCAACAATCAATTTCGAATAATTTCAATGCTACTTTGTAGGTACAACAATTTTATCTTTGCACGGAATTGTCTCACATTTGTGTCCCATGTAATAATTGCCTTGGACGCAAATGAAGCGAGCGAAAGGTTTCCGACACATAAATTTCCTTGCATTTTTAGCACCTCCCATAAATGCATTTGTCTCACAAGTTTCTCTGTCTATATAAAAGTTCGGTAATTTGCCGTAATGTGACGCTAAGATACAGACTTAAATATTTGCAAAACAGTGCCTCCGTTCTCCCCATAAAATTACAAAAACGGACTGTTTTTTTAATGATCTTTTTGTATATACTAATAAATAAAGAGCTAATGTATGCCTCTCTAATAGTAAAATTTTCATTTTTTGCTTTTTTAAGAAGAAATTGATCTTTAAAAATCACTAAAATGTCGCAACTTTAACGCCATATATTTTGTTTTTTCGATTGTTTTTTTAAAAAAGTGGCATTAGAGAAGCACGGCGGCATTCTTTCTGAATCGATATCACTCATCACATCAGTAAAATACCTTTGTCATACTTTAAATTTATAGGGACAACGTAGAGATGTTTAGGCATTTAATATGCGGAGTCCTGATTCCTCTTAATGAAAATTTTTATTAAGGCGTCTCTGCAGTGAATTAAGATTTCGATCTTGCGCCTAGACAGAAAAATTTGTAGGCAACTAACTATACAAATTATTGATGTTTCCAATGTGGATTCTAAAACGCTGCAGGCTATAGGTGCTATTCATTCATAACAAAGCAATTAGTACCTAAGTAAATGAATTAAAATACCTCTTTTCTTTCTTTTGTAATTTGTTGAGCTGGATTTATTTTGAAATGACTACATTAGTCATAGACAAATACCATTACCGTTACCTAGAAGTATTCAGGCTTCCATTAATCATTTAAATCTGAAAATTTACTTGCCAACATAGTTTTTTATGATCTGTCGAAACAAAATATTATCATGATTTTTCCACTACCGGTTCTACCGGATGTCTATAGCAACTTTCTTATTTTAAATAAAACACCCTGTATTTTATTACATTTTCGGAATCTACATGAAAATCTACGTCGTTTGATACCACATTTCGCTATACCCAGCATCAAACGTTTTCAAGTAATTCAAGATTTTTCAAAATTCAAAAATTAACAGTACTGACTTGATTCTACGTGACAATGATTTAAATTTTGATCGCCCTTTTACAGGGTGTTTTAAAACTAATGGTCAACTTTAACATGCAGATATACATGCTTTATTTTTTTGCACTTTCAAATGTCGAAAAAAATTCTATAGCAATTTAGTATTACGTTCCGTTTACCTATCTGTTATGCTTTCCGTTATATTTTAGATTTTCTAAAATTGTGACTCTTATGCATAATTTTCTTAGAAAGCTTTGAAATATCGTTAGAAGACTTGTCAGACCTTTTTATAGCTATAGTTGATAGTGATGGTAGATGAATAATAAGTTAAATAAAGAAAACATAATAAACAGAAACAGGTAATAATAACAAACGACAATATAAAAGAACCAACATCAATTGAGGTTTTGTTCTACGTGGCCACCGTTTTTTTCAATACATAATAGGATCTTCCGATTAATTCCGTTGGTAGTCGTCTCTCTAATCCATTCCATCAAAAGCTCTTCCAGTTCTTCACGAAAAGCAACTGGTGTGAAGTAAATGTTGTCTTTATATGACCCCACACAAAAAACCCCAAGGCGTTATATCTGATAAGTTCTAGGAGGCCAACGCCACGGACATCTGGCTCCTATCTTCAAAAAATGTTCGTCAAAGATATACAGTGTCGTATGTATAAGCATCATGGATAGAATGAGCCCGCGCTCCGTCATGTTGAAACCAGTTGTTTTTAGCGCATTTTTGCAAAAAATTTTTTTTGTAAAAAGTAGCTTTTAATCTCACTTTGGCTGGCTGGCTGGCTGGCTGGCAGCAAATGTGGGCGCGTAGAAGAACTCTTGTAGAAAGGCAACGGGTGTACGTGTATCTACAGGGCCGTTAAATTTGTCAACCTTAGGGACATGGCTACATGATGTGGGGTTGGCGACATCTGGGCGTCATCCTCGAGCGTAGTATACTAACGTGAAGTTTTTCAGTTTTTTCCTATCTTCTACTACAGTTTTGGTCCGATTCTTTTGAAATTGGTGTCGTCGGAAAGATGTTGTAAACGCGCACAACTCCTGCGCGGAATTTTGTTTTTTGTCATAGGGGCGAAATTAACGACCTTTTGCGAGGCGCGCGCGCGCGTCTTCGAGAAGTAGTCAGGCGCCTTTTACCTTCCGTTGCGAACTCACGCGGTTTAACGTTTCGTAAATCTCGAATCGCTGTCTCTCTTTCTCGTGTCGCCAATAGAAGTGAATTGCGAGTGAACGGGACGTCGGAAGTGGGTACCGTAAAAGAGAATGTGGTAGCCCGCGACACGATCTTCCTGATGGTGGAGTCAAATCTTCAAACGCGAATTGCGGGTGAACGGGACGTCGGAAGTGGGTACCGTAAAAGGGAATGTGGTAGCCCACGACACGATCTCACTGATGGTGGAGTCAAATCTTCAATCGCGAATTGCGGGTGAACGGGACGTCGGAAGGGGGTAACGTCAAAGGAAATGTGGTAGCCCCCGACACGATCTTCCTGATGGTGGAGTCAAATCTTCAAACGCGAATTGCGGGTGAACGGGAAGTCGGAAGTGGGTACCGTAAAAGGGAATGTGGTAGCCCGCGACACGATCTCACTGATGGTGGAGTCAAATCTTCAATCGCGAATTGCGGGTGAACGGGACGTCGGAAGGGGGTACCGTCAACGGAAATGTGGTAGCCCCCGACACGATCTTCCTGATGGTGGAGTCAAATCTTCAAACGCGAATTGCGGGTGAACGGAACGTCGGAAGTGGGTGCCGTCAAAGGGAATGTGGTAGCCCCCGACAGGATCTTACTGATGGTGGAGTCAAATCTTTAAAAGCGAATTGCGGGTACACGCGGAAAGTGGGAAGCGGTTAGCTACTAGCCTTCGACAAGATCTGTTATTGATGGTTGAGTCGAAAGTGGCTAATAGAATACTGATCTGCCACACAAAAATGCGCTGAAGTCCCTTCGATCTCAAACGAGGACTTTGATAATTTTCTTCATGTAAATTCTCAAATGCTGGTAAAATAACATTTACTAACGCATTTATTTCAAGGCATCCTAAGAAAATTATGCATAACGGTCACAATTTTAGAAAATCTATAATAAAACGGAAAGCATAACAGAATGATATGTATAGGCAATGTAATACTAGATCAATGTAGATTTTTTTTGACATTTGACAGTGCAAAAAAATAAAGCATGTTTCGTTTGAAAAAATCAACTTTTTAAGGGTTGAAGTTAAATAAAGTTGACCATTCGTTTTAAAACACCCTGTAAAAGGGCGAACAAAATTTAAATCATTGTCACGCAGCAGCAAGTGAGTACTGCCGATTTTGGAATACTTTTTAAAATTGAAGTCAACGGAGTCATAGATACAGGACTCAATAGGATAACAGCCAAACATCAAAAATGTTCAAAATCTTGAATAACCTGAAATCCTTTGATGCTGCATATAGGGAAATTGGTATCAAACGGCGTAAATTTTCATGTAGATTTGGAAAATACAGGGTGTTCTATGTAAAAAAGAAGTTGATATCGACATGCGATAGAACCAGAAGTGAAAGATCATTCTTTCGATAGGTCAAGAAAAACTATGTCGGTGTACACATTGTCAGATTTAATTGATCAATGAAAGCCTGAATACTTTTAGGTATCGGGTTGCGTGACACGGCCTCTAATACTTGGTGTAATTACAGAAGTAGGTATCCACAAGAATCTTACCATTACAAACTTCTAATCAATGAAACCAGTAAACAAATACATTATTATCTAATTATAGGAAGGTGTTAATGATGCCGGACAAAGCCCAAGGCGGTGAATTCCATTGCAGATAATAATGAATAGCCCAATCTCTAAAGCTATTGTTAGAAAAATGAATAGGATTAATTCGCAATTGCCAGTTAATGACAATTTCGCCGGCGGGTGTATGGTGTAATTTAAGTTGCCTAACTGTGCTTTCAATTTGTGAAATACTTCATGTCATCAAAACATTTTCCCCAATTTTTGTTGTTAATTTAAGGGCTGAAAAAGATATATCTATGTACAATCATACAATTTTGTTAGCTGGTTGTAAATCGCCAAAACCCATGTCTGTATGTTTTATAGAGGCGTCGTTATCTTAAAGACAAGCTTTATCAATTGTACTAGTTATTTCCAAAATTATGGCAAACTTCAAAATTTGGTTTACGCACAATCATTCTGTTGGTTAATAGCTACAATATTTGACGTCGGCCCTTTTTTTAAATGCGATTATAAAATCAAAATCTTAAAGAAATGATTCGCTGTTTTGCGGATAGTTCAACATTCACTGCAGAGCCGCCTTAAATTAGGGCGCTAAACATTTTTTACCCTTGCTAAACTACTTACAGAAACACAACCCTCTTCTGTATGCTAGGGCAAGCTTATGTTTTGCCGGCCCGTGTGGCGCAAGTTCAGTTAAAGCTGAACTGTTGGTGCTAAGGGTCTCTGGTTCGAATCCGGGTTCGGGGATAGATATTTGTAAATGTATAGTGGGTTAGGCTGGTAGAGCAATATATGGTAGAGCAGCCTTGGCTGAAACCCCGCCCACTCAAACATAAAGCAAAAATAAAAATATAAATTTAGTGCAACTACCAGTTTGTTTTTAGTTTATGCTGCTACATAAGCTATTTTAGTGGAAAAAATGTGCAAAAACTGCGTATTTATTATTTCACTAGCTTCCCCTTCAACGGTGAAAATCGATTTAGTATCTTCTTCTGTAAAAGACTGCCAGTCTCCAGTGTAGAATTACCTTTGCTTAATTTTATTTAATTTTCTGACATGTTTGGCACAGGTGATAAAAGAAATACAACAAATGTCCGAAAATGGATGGTTTGTCAGTCATTTAGTCGATCTTCTTTATCATGCCGGTCGTCTTGAGGGGTTATATAGTGATGAAACCAAAGTGTAAGGATTATCCGGCACAGGACATTGGTAATATCTGGCAATTTTAGGATTGGCAGTCGTCTACGCGAATCTTTCCTACTAGACTATGGCACATTGCTCATGGGCCACCATTCACTGTGGCAAGTGGGCTTGAATTATCTGGATCACTGCCCGACAGAAGGACTGTCAACAATCGAGCTTTTACTACCCGCACTGCCCTTGAAATCTGAGGCACGCACGCAAAAAATAATACGCGAGGCTCACAAGCGAGATATGCCACAAATTGGTTGGTAAAAATGATGCTCGTCTAGTAACTAACTGGCCAATTTCAGTACAAAGCATTTGTAAAGTACACACAATGGATTCCATATCGAAAGGACGTTTGGGAAATGCTCTGACTTGGGGGTTAAAATCGCAAGACGGCGGATTTACCTCACTTATTGCGGATAAATTTTTGCGCAAATACAAAGAAACGGGAGTATTGCTGAATGAAGATTTGCTCGACAATTTAGGTTCCTCGATGCTCATTAGCGATCGGCTCATATTTCTAGGTAAATACTTCGAATTTCACAAAGAATATCGGCTAAAGAATTACAAGGAAGCGGCAAATATACTCATTTCTTTGCTCGCATCGAAACTTACACCGAGATAGTAAGTGATCAACTGTAGAAATGCACATTCATCATTCTTGTTTTAGCTTTTGGGACACATTACTATGCGACGCAATAAATTTGTTGGAAAATAACGTTATGGTCATCTCATCTACGGATACTTACACATTACTCCATAGTCTAGAAGAAAAATGTGAACTTCCCGAGCTGAAGGATAAAATCGATTTGATTCGATTAGGTGCTGCGAGAAATCTGTCTCGTGCCCTTTTATATGAAATGCAATTGGATAAAAAATACACCTGAGTACTATTCTTTTTTAAATAAAAATAAAACAAATAATTACATTCTTTTTAACAAATAAATATTACGCTTCAACATGTATGAGATCCGGTATCACGTCCAATTGCTCAACGTTGTACTTGTAAATTTTGTAGTCGTTGTAAGTAAAACGCGCTTGTAAGTGATGATCATTTAATACTAACGGTAACCAAAATTGTGAATCCGGCCACATATTATGATAGGGAATGTTTTCGAACTCGAACCATTGGGGTCTCATCTCGTCGCTTTCCTTTAAATCGCCTTCCACCTGACTAGCGCTAAAAATATATACAATCCTTCTGTGAACGTCATCATCGTAAGTAACAACGCCCATGTAATGTAAATGCTGTTTCTCCACCACTAAATTGCTTTCTTCGAATAATTCGCGAATTGCACCTTCCGATATGGTTTCGTTCTCTTCCAGTTTTCCTCCAAAACCGTTCCATTTTTGTTGACCGAACCCGCGTTTCTTGTATCCCAGCAGCACGTGGTTTTGGGTTTTTATGAAAATCAGCGTGTAGTGTGTGGTGTGCATTTCGTGTTACACCTGAAAAAAAATTGAGTTTGTATTCTTTGGTATTGATTTATTAAACTTAACGATTCCAAAGTGTCATTTGCATAAAGGTGTGATAGGTGATATTTTGCCACTAACATGCTTGATTTTAGTTTAATATACAGTGCGAGTGTAAGTCGGGAAATATCACAATCAAACGTTCAAAAAAAAAAAGGAAGGTTATACACTGCCTTTTTTTGAGGCCCGCAAAAAAAATTGTCTCAGATCGACCCGGAAAAAAAAAATTTCTTATAGAATGTGGCCTGATGTAGAATCCATAATTTCAAACAGTTCCAAGATTGGGCTACTAGTTCAAAAGTTACAGCCCTTTGAATTTTCTTTCGAAATTGGTTTCTAGTCTATAACTTTTGATTGAGAAGTCTGATCGAAAAAGTACGAATTGTTTTGGATTCTACGCACCAAAATTAATAAGAAAAAGTGTTTTCCCGAGAAATTTTGGAGTAGTCGATTTTTTGGTAAAAAAGGAAGGTTACCTATTCAAATACTATGCGAAGTATTCGAATACTTCTCAAAGTATTCAAATACCTTGCGAAGTATTCGAATACTAAATATTTGTGAAAGTATTTGAGTTACAAATACAAATACTGCTTCCATAAAATTACAAAGTATTTGAATACTTTAAAGGATTTGAATACTAAAAAGTATTTACAAAATCGAATACTGCCCAGCTCTGCCTATATTAAATAGGATTAATTAGAAGACTGTCGATTATAGTCTTGCACAAGAATTGTAAAAAATGACTGTTGTCTGTTATATAATCCCTGCTTACGTCCTCTATAGGTATCTCATTATAACAACAGCAACAGGTTTCTATTTGTAAGTAATTGAAATTGCTAATTCTTGCAATGTGAAAATAAGGCGGAAAATTTGAACAATCATCTTGATACGCTATCCATAATATTATATATCATTTCAGAGCATTTTTGTCCATTTCCAGATCTTTCTACACTCATCTAGGCTTGGAAAATCTAGGAAGGACTTGAGACGCTCGGGAAAGCACTTACTGAAACCGAAAAGGGATGGTTCCGTGATTTCCTATGCCTTTTCTATACCTAGAAAGTCCTTAAATGTTGCGAAGGATTCAGTAAGTCATCTTCTGTTTCCAGGGTATTATAAATGATTATTCATTGAAAATTGTTGTCTAAAATGCTTTCAAAAAAATTAAAGGTGTGGACGCAGATCCGGAGAAATGCAAACAATGCCCAGAAAAGGACTTTCTAGGCTCACCACACATACAATTTACATGTAGTTCACTCCCCTAGAAAGGCGGGGGGGAAATGCACTCCAACACTTTCCTTAGTATTCTAATTCTATTGTTTTGTAAATTATCCGCGAGCTTTGGAAGGTGCACTAAAATCCCCTGGAAAGCACTTGAAGGCTATTAAAAGTCTTTTTCAAAACCGTTACAAGCATTTTTGGGCGTTCACTGAACGGTCTACGCACTTTCCCTAGCTTTCTAGGCTATTTCGGCAGCGTTTTAGATGAACCCAGAAACTGGATATTGTGTGGGTATCAGGGGTTAATCCCCCCCCCCTCCATTTTACCTTTATTTAGTAGTTAACCGTAATTTGTCGGTTTTGCGCATGGCAAGAGGCAATATAGAAACAGCTTAGTAGAGTCGAAAAAATGGATAGCAGTCCACATTTTCAGGAAACAGCTCTTAGGGGATAGGCAATCCGCTCCCCCTAACGGGAGTTCCAGGAACAGATGGGCGTGGGCACGTCAGCACATTAAGAGGAAGGGTCAAAGAGCATATATGTGCCAATTTTCATAGCTTTACTCAAAAGTGTAACTTTATCTCACTTTTGGACCTAAGCACCCACACTATTATTGGTATCTTTGTTGACCATAAGCGAGCCTGTACCGTAAAGTTCAGGTGAGACAGACTACCTATAGAGAGCTGTGGAAATGGCCCAGACAGTTTGGAAAGGCATAGAATACCATGGAAAAGTATTGGAAGGTACTTCTGTCTAAGCCTTCTAGGTGCACTTTCTTTAAGCGGCCTGCAGTCTCAGCTAGTTCCAAAAAAGGCTTGAAAAAGGTCTGAAAAGTATGTTGCTTGACCTTTTATAGTACTGTTCGGTGCATGTAAAGACTTTCCCGAAAAATTGAAGTCTTGCCAGAGGTTTCCAGGCTTTTTGCATTCTGAGGTTCTTCTAGATATAAAAGGCACTTAGAGCATTTAATTAGCTATGCATTTTTTTCCAAAAAAAAAAAAACTAAACCGCACCTATGTAAGATATTTTTGCCAGATTCATCCATGATAATTTTATTGTCATTGAAAGATGTTCATTGAATACATATCTTTCGCCCCTTTTTTTAGATAGGCCCAAAGCACACGTGCTTGGGTAAATCTGCCACTGTCCTGTAGTTCTTCACAGTATTTTTATCCCGGATTGTTTCTATACATGTCTTAAATTGTAGCAGATTTGAAAATGAATTTAAATGGGTTCAACAGCATACTGTTTTGACAGGAAATTTGCAACTCATTTTTTATGTGCTGAATTAATTGCACTCGCAGACACACAGCAACCGAAATAAAGAAAAGGAGGAAGGAATGTAATTAACTAAATAAATTCTAACAAAACTATACGCCTATATCTTTCGGTATTGTTTTATTAAACTAACGATTTCAGTACAGTTTGTATTTCATTTGCGTTACAAGGTGTGATTAGTGTTTCCGTTATTTTGTTGCCGACATACGTAATTTCGGCTAGGAAATGCTCGTCTCGCAGCATGTAAGGATACCACAGTTTAGCATCTGGCCACATTTTCTGATACGGTATATTGGAAAAATTATACCATGTGACCGGGTTCATTTCTTCGCTCGGTTTCAAATGACTAGTAGTGTTATGCGTTGTAAAAACATGCACAATCGCACGACAAAAGTCCTCCTTATACGTAACTATACCAACATGTTTTAACTTGTCAACGTCTAAATTAGATTCTTCTTTCAATTCTCTTTTGGCACCTTCCTGGATACTTTCACCTTGCTCGACTTTTCCTCCGAAACCGTTCCACAGTCCCACACCGAAACCGCGAACTTTTAAACCTAGTAATACTTCATTTTGCTTTTTCACAAATACTAAAGTGTATATTTTCTGTTTCATGGCGAATAATTGCAGAATAAACAGAAAATCTTGGCAAAAATTTGAATAGATTTTTGAGGTTATTAATGGAGGGAGGACATAAAACAACGTTGTCACTTTTCCAGTCCGGAGAGAGTGGGACAATGCGCGTTAGCTCAATCATCCAAATACACACGCGTTATGTTGGTTGCCTATGGCTAGGCGAACGAAGGCCAACAAGTAACTCGTAACGATGTGAAAGTACCCTATTTATTATATAACAGGCTAAAATCAGATAACAAGGTATACGTGACAACACTGCAAGTTGCACACAAATGTAACAATTTTAATCCAAATTTGTTTATTCAAAATATACCTACCACCTACCTACAATCAAAGAGTAACTTTAATTCGCAATAATTTCACGGAAATTTCTAGTTTTCGCCACGGTTTTCAACTTTTTCTGTTCGACAATATGTATGCGTTGTTGCCTAATTACCCCGAAAGTTATGTGCAATTTTTGATCAAATTAACCCTAGGGTGAAATAGCAAATTGGCTTACCATTTTATTGTTGACCCCCCAACACATTTCCCATCACAAAAGAAGGAAAACCGTGAAAAATTCGCGACGTCCCCCCTGTTAGTGTCACATTTGTCATGCGCAATAAAAAAAAGAAAAGTCAAGTGTCATTGCAGCTGTAAAAATATTACAAGAAAGTAAATTTGTAGTGTCATCAAGTGATTATTTTCGTGAAAAGGGCCTTTGTACATTTCATTCTAGGGATTACGTGTCTTTTACCGGTCTCCTTTGACGTTTTGCACATCTTTAATTTTGGTAGGTAAGTCGACCGCTACCTGGAAAATGGCCTATTTGTTTACTGACACACGAAAAAAATGGGTGATTCAGGGGTTCCGCATTAATTCCTGTTATCATTTGTAGAGCTTGTAACGAGTTATAATTCTCTACAGCACTTGGAATGTCTTATTAATAGAATATTGATCTTGCCAGTAGAATACATAGAAGTTTAATTAGATTTGCAAGTGACACAAATTCATTGTAGATGATTTTTTGACAATGCAAGTCAACGTCGCTGGTCTTCGCAGAACTATAAAGAATGTGGCCCACAATTACTCGGACGCGCAGAAGAAGGTTAGGGAGGCGACGTCGAACGACCACTGGGGACCGAGCAGCACTCTAATGGCCGAGATAGCCGATTTGACTTACAACGTGCTCGCGTTCACCGAAATAATGCAAATGATATGGAAACGGTTAAACGATAACGGCCGTAACTGGAGGCACGTGTATAAGGCGCTAGTCCTCTTGGAGTATTTAATTAAGACGGGCTCGGAGAAGGTCGGGCAGCAGTGCAAAGAAAATATTTTCGTTATACAGACTTTGAAAGATTTCCAGTACCTCGAGGAAGGTAAAGATCAAGGGCAAAATGTTAGGGAGAAAGCGAAGCAATTGGTGAATCTGTTGAAGGACGACGAGCGATTGAAGAACGAGCGTGCGCGCGCTCTTAAGGCAAAGGAGAGGTTCGCTCAGACGGCGAGCGGGTTCGGTAGCGATGGCGGGCTCGATACGCCAAGCAGCCCTAGGTTTCCCGCATTTGGTGGTGGAGGTGGTGGTAGCGGCGGTAGTGCTAGTAGCTTAGGCAGCGGGTGGAATGGTAGTAAAGATTCGGCCGAGCTACCGAAGGAATTGGAATTCGCTCGGCCACAAACGGCAGGCGAAGAGGAATTACAGTTGCAGTTGGCGCTTGCAATGTCACGCGAAGAGGCCGAGCAAGAGGAGCAGAAGAAACGATCGGACGATGTTCGACTGCAGCTTGCTCTTAGTCAAAGTCAGCAAGATTTCAAGTATGCTGTGGTTAGTATTTTTGTTTTGTGTTCTCAGTCGATTGTCTTCTAGAGTTCATCAAGATTACAAACCGAAGAGTCACGTTCTCGATTTACTAGATGTGAATTTAACCAGCAATACTGCGGCGAGTGACCCATGGGTTGTTCCTCAGCCACCGCCACGAGCTCAGGTAATTCCATTTGAACATGTTTTGTTCAGAGTTCAAACACTGAGAAATCATGACCTGTCAGGCAGATGTCCATCTTTTAATAAACAGCAAGATGGGCAAAGGATCCTATGAACTTTTACATTGATCCCTGTAACTTTGACCCAATGTGTAAACTTAGTTCTTCTTTGCCTTCACCACCTGTGCAGTGGTTCTGCTTCAGGTGTAATTCATTTATTAAGTTCTATGGTTTGTTTGGTTGCAAGCAAATTCAGTAGTGGATTGAGCTAAATATTAGTAGTATCAACAAGGGGTCGGTACTCTGTAGTCCCTTTCCATGCGAGGAATCTATGGAATTTAAAGGTTGACCCTGGAATTTTGTGACTATTTGAACAGTCACCTGCTTTGCTTGTTTACAAAATAAACATGATACTTAATGATAATTTTTAATGATAAAAAACCGCGTTGTAATGTAGCCTACAATGAAATTATAAGAATAACTGACAAACACTAATGTGAACATTGGCCTCATTGTTGTTTTTAATTTTTGGCAAGATTCCATCCAGACAATTTCTCAATTTCATTTTGATTATGTTTCATGCTTGAAATGATTGTTAATACTAATATGAATAAAAACAACAAATGCAATTGGTTAGTTGGGTTTTTGGAACTAGACCCTACAGTGAGTTTTTTTTAAGTGACAATTCAACTACAATGCAATTATCCTTATATTCACTTAAAAAAACAAGGCAATTTATTCCAATAATCGGGAAAGATAATTGGTTCAATACCAAATGAATTACACATCTACACATCTCAAATATGATTAATTAATTACTTGCACCATAATCGGGAATAATTGGTTCAATACCAAATGAATTACACATCTACACATCTCAAATATGATTAATTAATTACTTGCACCATTGAATAAGCACCTTAAAGAAGTATAACTACATAGGAAAACCTGAAATTGGTGTAAGGTGTGTTGCATACACTGCAAAGTGGTTAATTACCACAAATATTGATGTATATTTGACCTCGGGCGGTAAATAATGACTTATTTTAAACAGGGAAACCAGTTATACTTAGGGGCCCTTTGTTTTCCTTGTTTATCAGAGTTGAACAGTGTTGTCATATTTACCAGATACTTATATGGAGCTAGGTAACGTTTGATTGTTTACTATGTAAAGATAATGGTCCTTAGAACAGTTCTTGTTGGTTTTTTATTAGATTAAACTACATTTTTACTTTATTTTATTGTTCCTCATGATCTTACATTTCAAATTGATCCTCCCTTACATAATATTGTTATTGGCATTGAATAAAAGCTTATTAAATCTTTTAATCTAGTTTGTTCAAACTCAAAGCGCTTGCCAAAAATCTGGCAACGTTGGAATTTTAAAGAAGTAAAGAAATCTAAGTCGGTAACTAGCTTTAAATTTGTGGCTCACTTTCCCCCACAACAGAGGGACGAATCCTGGGCAGTTTTTCTTATTTCATCAGTTAACACGGGCGTTATACTTCTTTAAGGTGCTTATTCAATGCTTGCACTTTAATCAGTTCGATTTAAAAAATTTTATAAATTAACTAGCAGATCTCCGCCTTTGGGAAACCTCGTTTTCTTGGTGGGATATGCAGTGATATTCATGTAGAAGTAGACAGGGATTTCTTATGGCTACTTTTAAATGACAAAAAGTCTCCTGATAGACGCCTAATTTTATGCAACCAAAGAAACTACCTACAACAAATGAGGATCTGCCTGTCATATTAATTAATTTGAATATTATCGCTTTGACTTCTCTATTCTAATTTCGGTTCGTGTGCGATGTATTCAACTAAAGAAAAAGTTGATTTGATTTCCAATTGGTATAGTGCCGATAACAGTTAAAGGAGCCTAAGAGATTTATTTTCTGTGAAGCTAAAGCAACAATATTCAAATTAATAATTAATATGACAGCCAGATCTTTATTTGTTTCAAGAAGTTATTTTGGTTGCATAAAATTAGGCGTCCTTCAGGAGACTTTTTATCATGTAAATGTAGACATTGGAAATCCCTATGTCTACTTCTACATGAATATCACTGTATGTTTGGTCTCACCTCCCAGTCCCATAATTACCTAGCGGTATCAAATACACTTGACGACGTGTTGTCATACCTGTCAACTACACAACAAAAATTCATACAAATCTGTGGAGCAATTCGGGATGTCTTTAATGGGGATCTCGGAAACCATTGAAGATACGAAGATGGTCAAATTACGGAAAAGTTGCGCAAAAGAGTTAATATGCTTTAAAGAAAAACCAGAAAATTCCAATTACTTCCGAACTCGATTCCGAAGATATGCCAGAAAAACCGAAATTTGCGGAATTTGTTTTTATCTAATGTTATTTGCACAGATACAACAAAACAAAAAGCATTTGGTAATTTTTTTTTGAGAATAGTTCCGACTGACTTTCTTGCATGATGGGGAAATTAAAATAATGTAAGTTTGAGATCATTTCATGCTGAACATACACTTTTTGAAATTATTTTGATATCTTAAAAAATAACTTGGCAATTAAACTTTCCGCAAACCCCGTTTTTCCGTCAAATGCGCCAAACCACCATTGTAGAAATGGCTACCTCAAAAAACCATGGCTTATAAAATTTCTTCAAATGGTGATTTGTGATCGCCTACCTGTAGTATGAAATACCAACCAGAATAATAAAAAATGCTGACCAACAAATCATATTTGTATTTCAAGTGGAGATTGACCCCTATCGGTATATCCAAAACATAATTTGAGTAAATTTGACAAGAAAAATGGGCTCTGATAAAACGCTAAATTTGAAAGTCCCATCAAGATCAAAAACGATACGTTACTTGAGTTATATCTTAAAATCAATTACCGCTTTATTTATGATGCAAACGTTATAGGTTACAATTTAAGCATAATTTTTCTAACTGGAAAATCTATCCTAAATCAATAAATGAACGAATATTCAATTCAATTTAAGTACATATAAAACTGTGACGTCACAGGAAGATGCAGATAAACGGCTTGTGTTTCCACAATTATGACGGAAAGGTATAACAACAACAAAGGCAGGATTATTACGACAAAATTCATTCTACTTCTTGATCAATTGTTGTTGTGTATGGAAAAGCACTCTTGGAATAATATTAGTACTTTTTCCACCTAATATTAATTAATTCGACGCCATATAAAATATGAAGTAAAGGAATTGGTGACTGAAACACGTCGTCTGAGCCTGAGAGAGATAGCCACTGAAATTTGTACGTCTCATGAGTCAGTTCGTACCATTTTATACCATTGTTTGGACTTGAAATGCGTGGCCGCTAGTACTAGTACCAAAAGACCTAAATTTTCTGCATAAAAATAGCATAAAGATCGAAATCGAAATGACAGTACATTTAAGTACAAGTAGCAAATGTTTAAAAAGTATATCAACTAAAGTATAGGAGTAGAAAAAGCTCCTTTCAGATTTCATAAATAAATAGCCAATGAGAACCAAATTTGATTAACGCCAGTTTCAAAATAAACTGCACACCTTACTGATCGTCGAAAAGTACGTGCTTATCTTGAAACTAATTAAATTTCAACTTAGCAACGCTATAACAAATGCTCTTCTAGCAATGGCCAAATAAGACCTTTTAATACAACACGCAAATACTTTTACAGATTTGACTGAATAACTCATCTGTGCTCTTAAATCTCAATATGAATCGATAAAGGTATAATTTTTTTATTACGAAATTACTGTTGTCTGTTACACCTTGTCAATTACACATTTGGCGATTTGAAAATGACCTAATTCTATATTTTTCTGTCAGGTACAACCGTGGCAAGGAAACGCTTTGTCGTCTCCCACCCACAATTCGTCGCAAGAAGACCCGTGGCTGCCACCACTAGCGCCGCCTCCGAAGGCAGACCCGTGGAATCCCCATAATGGAATGCCTATGCCCTCAGTGCCTCCCATACCGCGCGGTGATCCCTGGTCGCCTACGAGCCAGAGCTCGTCGACCGACCTCGAAGATTTCGACGCGATCACGAACAGAAATCGCACTTCACCGAAAACGAACGGAACAACACACAGTAACAATAATACGCCCGATCCGTTCGAAGTTAACTTATTAGGCGAAAGTCTCGGAGCAATTGATACGAATCCATCCACGGGGGCGACCAAGAGAACACCTCAATCGTTTCTCGGTGACAACGCCGGCCTTGTTAATTTAGATAATTTAGTAACGGCGACGAGTAAGTACCGTGTAGATGTTCGTCATATGGCATGATCCTTTTTTCTTTCTACATCATTAGATGGCGCTCTTTACTGGTTTTTAATAAAGTCACTAGATATAGAAAGTACCGCAATCATCCGCCATTTTTGGGCAAATTTGCTGCCAACTTAAAAAAATTGACAAATAAAATCTGAATAGCTGTAATTTTTTATAACCTAACCTCATAGTACTGTCATGTTTTAAAAATATATACAGATATCTACAAACAGGTGGAACAATCCCTAACATTAAAGTTACTAGAATCTGGTAACTTCCGCCATTTTTGGGCAAAAATCATGCGTTCTCTCTCTAACACACGAGCCCAATGGATTGCGGTACTTTCTATATTTAGTGACTTTAGTTTTTAAGACAGTGGCTTTATTCTGACAGTGTGGCCATAGGGTTCTTTTCTCTTGGCTGCGCTATGTTTCCTCCAGATTTGAATTTGAGTTAATTCTGTACGTGTAGGTTATGTTGAGTTTTTGTAAATAAAATTATGTTTAGTAAACTTATATTGTGTGATAACCTACAGTAATCCGCTTGCTGTGTTTCCGAATGGGTGTGCAATATAAACATGTAGAGACAATTGTGGTTATGTCGCATTCATAATATTACACTTTACTAAAAACTTCGGGGTATCTTAGACCCGCTACAGCTTTCTTTAAATGTGTACTTTGTCATAACTAAAATCCCTTTTATTCTTAATCCACGCAAAAATAGCACATACGTTTTTTAAAATATGCATTTTATGAGCCTAGTTGTGGTAAGTTAATTAAAAAAGATACATACTACCATTGTTTATTTAAAATGTGAACTTTCGCAATCTTAATCTAACTAAAGGTTATTACCTCATCGAGTTTAATATATAAACCTTCTTTTACTTAAAAGAATATGTAGAATGTTGTTTAATCATCCCCCTCATTTGAAACACCATGTATTTAAATGTTTTGAAGTTTTTATCAAAATCGTAACATTCACAATTTAAAACTTTTCAACATGAAAGTCTCTAGAATAAGTAAGCTACACGTAGCATTTTCATTACTTACTTTTGAAAATTTTCCACTGTATCATGCCTAAGAAAATGTGAAAGGTAATTCTGGAATTAGAGAAAAACACCTCGTATTTGTTACACGAGTTTTACATTTTTCTAATTTTTCGTTTTGTTTCGTAAAAGAATGGGTAGGTATTATACTGTCATTTACAACATGAAATGGTGCATTCTTTCAATAAAAATGAGTTGCCATTAGAAATATCCATCTTTTCCATATCTTATTACATTCAAATCTGGAAGAAACATGGCGGCCGTTGCGCTCTCAAAAATCTATCCTATTGTAAAATGGTTGAAACAAATTTTAGACCTTATCCCGGTATAAACTTACACTCTTTATGTCTTATGTGTTATTGTATTATAGTAGGATTTTACTTAGTTTGCACGCACGTCATTGGTGTATTATGACGTCATCACTAAGTATGTTTACATAGTGCAAGCAATAGAAGAGAATACATAGACCTGAAATGAGCTGCCTGATTGATTTTTGAATCAATTTCAGACATACGCTAAAACACTAACATCTATCAAGTGTGAGAAATCGATAAAAAAACTTGTCTAAACTTGATTCACAAATCAATCACCCAGGGCCACAGATTTCTGATTTCAAGTGTATGTAGGCAGCCATACAGATAGTGCTGCATTGTGGGTAGGATACCCATTACATCGACTTCTATTAACCAATTACTAGAAAAAATGTTTTGGTAGATATTTGTCTTTGGCTAGCAAGGTCGACATTATTATTTGGACGTAATGAGGTATGCCCCTCTGAGCGCCTCTCCCCTGATTATCACATGTAGTAGCGATAAGATCCAGAGGGTCTCCATAGCCACCGTTGGGGTCGTTATTATTGCCCCTGTACTTCCAAAGCAAGCTCTGCCCTGCACCTTGTTAAGTATCAGTATGTTCTTCTTGGTAAAGGTCTTATGCCACCACACCAGTGACGCATACGAAGTCACTGGTATCATTTTAGTGTATATCCAGTGCTCCAGAACGCTTACCTACAGGTCCACAGGGACCTTGTTTGCTATTTTCTCCAGAGGTGAGTTGAAAGTGAGCCCTTGGTCTAACGTGATCCCCCCCCCCTTCTCTCACTGCCTGTAGCTTGATCCGGTACATTTCAATGCTCTTTAGTTTTGTCGCCTCTTTTCTACGTGAGACTATGACTAATCAAGAAGAAGTAAAGAAGCAGAGTGAAGTGATACAACAGATGGTAGTGAACTTCACCTTTTTTGTTTAACATTGTTTCTCTTTTTTTTAAAAATTTATTTTATTTTATATTTCTTATTTTGTATTTGTTTCCGTTATTCCAATAAATGACGATTATTATTATTATTATTATGGTCAGTCTTTCTTGTCAGAACTCAGGTCTAGGCTGATTAACCAATCTCACGGATTAAACTCAAGTAACGATTAGTGTTTGCCTGTATGTTGTTTGTCTGATCAAGTTTTCTTGAGTAAATTTTATAAATGATAGTAATCAAAAAGAAAAAATAATAATTATAATAAATAAATAAGAAAAAATTATTAGTATTATGTCAGTGCTGCCCTATACAGGGTGGTGCGCATTGGCATCACATCCGAGAAGGAGTTGCTATCCTTTTCGCTGACAGTTTGCTAACTTCTGTGGTTGGTGGTGGATATAGTCCAGTCAAAAAAAAAGGCAAAAAAGGGTTTTTCTGCAAAAGATCAAGGAGTTTTGAAACTTGGTAGATTACTATATTTAGGGGTCCTGAATAATACCATGAGTTTGCGACCTTGAGCGACCGCCGCCGCATTGGAAAAATAGTATGAAAATTCAGTTTTTCGATAATTTCTCTGTTTAATGCCACCTATGTTAAAAGTAGTTATTACAAGAGTTATAAAGCACAACATTTCCTATAACTTTCATATTCAAATATTTTTAATCGGATGAGTATTTTACTAGCCACAGCCGAGTAAAAGTCAGGACATTTTTTAATTTGCAAAATCGCAATACTATTTTTTCCAAATATGAGCAATAGTTGTTCATTTGTTTCATGTTTCATATTAAAAAAATAAGAGGGCCTTTAGGATTTAGGTTATTTGCTGAGGTTCTCTCCTCTTGGTCCAGGCGGTAAAGTTTTGACCCCCTATACTATTCTGAGCTCACCCGGTTTGTGCATGGTATAACACATGTTGGCACCGTTTCTCTGTGCAAGCCCTTGGTCACGATAAAACAGCTGGGCTGGGTCGCTGATCCGCCATGTTGTCTTTAGTTGCTACCAGTCGCAGATACATAAGCGACCAGTATCCGTATCCCTAGCACTAACCGATGCGTCACATGTGCTTGTGTGCAACCATCAACATCGCTAATGGGTTTCCTACATTGCCTTGTATTTTTCTTACTTTCTAGAGATTTGCTTGATTTAGAAATTCGAAATTGAGATCACCGTTCGCAGGCTAATATTTAATGCGTTCACAAAAACAGAATTGATGACGTGCTCGCAAACTAACGAAACTCTTACTTTATATACATAAACAACCGTCATTGATTGAGATGATGACTCGTGGAATTTGGTGCCCTTATTTTCAAGGGACTTTACTTAATTTTTTTAGAGTTTCAAATTAATTCTCTTGGTGCAATTATGAAATACTTCTCTATCCACCCCAACTCCAACGAAATCAATTAATAGACATTGTGACCTTAGTTTCTGCCATGACGCTTTTTGTTGTTCATGTCAAATATATCACTACCTTTTCTTCCATCTTGGCATCCTAACTTTCCTAATCGAATTTTCAGCTAAGCAGACGACGGCGTCGACCGCACCTCCGGCTATTGTCAATCCGTTCTCCGATCCCCAACCGCCCAAGCCGACCATAAATCAAATAAAGCAGCCGCCTTTCGGCGCCTCGCAGCTGGGAACGTCCGCGCCGACTTACGGATCGCACATGCTCGGCTTCACATATCCGAGTAATTACGCCGGCGACGCGCCGCCCATTAACAGCGGTTCGCAGTTCGCGTCGAGCGCCGGCAACTTGGGTCAGACGCAGGCGAGTAACGATCCGTGGGCTCCCGCGTCGAGTACAAACGCCAATTTAAGCGGTCCTTGGATGAAGCCGGAACAAGCCAATCCGTTTTTGTCGTAACCCACTTTTAGGAGGACGTGCACGAACACTAACACCAATTACGTAACTTTATTGAAATGGTGCAAATTTCATATAAATTTTTATTGTCTTGGCACTAGACGTCTATTATGTAATTTTTTAAAGGTAGCAGGTGGTAGTAGGAGGTCGATGTCTGACCTTTTACACTACCATTACTATAATTATAATGATAACATGATGCTTGTAACGAAAAGGTGATTAACGAATTTTGCTCAGTTTTGTCTATATATATTCTAAATGTCTGCACGCTTAAATTGTGTGACGGTCGTCAATCATCAGCTTTAATTTGTATTAGCTATCTGTGATAATGTTTTGTGTACCTTTGCAATGAACAGGATGTTTAATTATGTTTCGCTTTCGTCTCTCAGTATTTTAGCAACTTGTGGGATAAATATCCGTCAAAACCAGTACAGAATTTAAGAAGCGATGCAGACAACACGCTTACATTAATTATCAAAATATATTTTCTTATATTAAATCAAGTTGGTCCGTCATTTTACAGACTGAAATTAATGTAAATAGGTATACCATTTACAGTTTTATATGAAGGTGCAAAATTTGAGAACTTTTTATGCTTGCGTGGCCATTTAATGTTAGTATTAACACACATCTCTTGTAGATCGGGTCGACATGAGTTGTTATAGATAGGCGATTCCTGCCCTGTTTATTTATTTTCTAAAGATTAAGACTGTTGCATATTGTATTTTGTGAAGATTTTTATAAAAAGTGGCCTTACAAGCGGGCCTCTTCTAAATTTGCTTTTTTTTTCAGAATGCGATTGCAATACTCGACTTTAAGATACTAAAAGCTCATCATTCTGTTACTTTTATTTATAGCGAATGTAAATATCATATTTGTTTTATTTTACAATTGTATATAAACTATGATGGATTTAATTAATGTATAAAAGAAAGCAGACATAGGGTTGGTTATATGGGTTAAAAGGTAATTGTAATACCTATTTTAATTACATTTATATTGCATTAGTAAAATATATGTACAATTTACAAAAAAATTATTTGTCCTGTTCCACCTTTAATTCAATGTATAACCACAGTCTAGATACAAAGTAGACTGCGGTAAAATTCAGTTCAATATAATTGTTCTTTTTTGTTGTTGTAATTTAAGACTTAGAAGTTAAGAAACGTGCCCGTAAAAAATGTATTGTGTCTTTACGAAAATTAGTTAACAGATGCTTGATAAAGGGCCTTTATCAAAGTAAAATTTAATTGAATGAAATAAGCGATGGTACAGGTGTGAAGTTTAGAGACAGGAAATGCATTGTAAAGTTGTTTCCGTCCAAATGCAATTTTTTAGACGGTGCGCCCATGTATAGAAGAGGAGTTTTTGTCTTTAAAAGTTTGTTAAAATAATTTTGTGAAGGTATGGTTTTCGTCATTTATCGGGTTGAACGAGGCGCGTAGGCGGCGTAGGAATAATGTGAAAAAGGATGCGCTTTTACTGGCGAAGAAATATTGAAGTGCGGGCCGAGTACTTTAATTTCCAGGTCAAGTAGTGGCATTTTACGGACAAGTTTTGTGTTAAATTTTACCTGAAATAGTATTTTAATATAAAATTTCAATTTTCATATAGAACTCTTGATTGATATCAATCTGTCAGTGATGATGGGAGTAATTGTAGAGTATGTTCCACAGGTATTTGGTTCCACTTAACGACCGCAGCAATGTCAGACATGTCGTCATTACTCCAGACCGCAACGAGACCACGGCGTCGCCTATTGTACCTGGGTCAACATGGGCGTTCTAATATTCTAACCTCACATTCTTTACAAGGGACTATCAGACACTGATTGGTTGAACGCGCACAAATTTTTCATTTGCGCTGTGGAGGAAATTTTATATGATCCAGAAATAACCTTATGGTGGACGTTATAGTATCGGCTGAAGATGTACGTCCACAAAATTATAAGTATAATACAGGGTTGGGCAGGGAGGTATGGATGATTTGAAATAACAATTACACACTCATTTTTAAACGAAACTCAAAATTTATTTTTTTAATGTGTACCTTAGATGTTGCCATTATAAAAATTAAAGAGGAGAAAATTAAAACATTGATCTCCCCTGTCTGTTCTTCGTACCTCATACGTATGTGCGAACTCCGATTTCACTTAAATGATTTCTGAGGTCCGTATAATTTTGACTGAAATAATACTGGACATCGGAGTTCCAGCATTTTTGTTGCAATGCACAATGGCAAACACTGATGCGCAAACATTTACCGGTATTGTTATTATGTGTCAAATAACTTGTATTTTTCGGTACTTTCTCTAGAAGGTAAAGTAGACACGCTTATATTGTACTGTTAAAATTTGGTTCTGAAATGATACTTTTCTTAGATTTTAACATTAGTGATTATTACCAGACTTATGGTACGTATACGTGTGATATACGTCTATGATGGTTACTGGGTATTATTAGAATATCACTAAGAAGTTAGTGAGAGGTAACATTAAAGACTGTAGAAGTAGGTCCATTTGAAAGACAGCAATATTCACAGCATAATTAAGAACCCCAGTACAATTAAATTAATAACGGTCCTTAATAAATTGATTTATTACAGTTATTATTATTTATCATGTTACTTGTACTCAAATTTATAATATGCCTAAATTTATAACGAGCGCGATTTCCACTATTTATCACTTCGCCATCGATATTGGAACTTCCCCAACAAACACACGAATAACGGCCGACTTATGGTTATACCAAAGAGTATGGTTACTCTGGTTATACTGATCGCATTGGCGGTAAGGTTGTAGCAGTAATTTACTGCATCGCTCAAGCTTCTTATTTTCTCCTGTTATCCATACTTGGTTTAACATATGCAGCCCCGTTGCAGGGACACTATATAGGCATCTCTTTAAATGAATAATTAATGGTCATTTTTGAATACTAAATCCGAAGCGTCATTTCGCACGGTGTCGCATGGCGTGGGTGATTTGTTGTTACCGCCATAGATGTTTGATTATTTCATCGTAAGATGTTCCTCTGTTTGTAGGATTTTATTTACAAATACAAGTTGTAGAGATTATCTAAGTGACAGAAAGAGTAGCAAATGGATCAGAGCAAAGCACATATACAAAAGACACGGGCGAGTACTCCAATAATCAAACATTCATAATATACCCAGACCTAGAGAATAGTGATTATGTTATCGTTCAATAGCAGTTGTAAGTTTTTTTTTATTGTATTTTATGTAATGCAATAAATGGTATGAATTCCATTTTGTTTTATGCATTTTATTGGAAATCATAATTGATTAGTTTAAGCACAGATTGCTAACCTTATGCATTTTTTGGGAAACAAATTTAGGTTTTTTGTTTCAGCGACATCTAACTCATAAATCCATAAGCGTCATTACAGTTTTAAACGATACATGTTTGTACTGCTCCACAATAGAGGGCGCCTTTAAGTATACCTAAATTTGTTTCCCAAAAAATCTTAGACCATATAGTACATGGACTGCTATTCGCCCTATGCTTTCAATACAAAATGGATGGTCACGGATAGAGGGCACTGTAGTCGTGGGTATGCATAGATATATAAATACCTAGATACAGCCATCCTTAACAAACGTACCTCGGTTTTTAAAAAACATATCAAAGAAATTTGTACATCTCTCCATTTCTTTCTAACCAAGAAGAAACATGTTCTATCTCTTTTTATTGCATTAACTTCTATGTCGTACGCGAATCGGACGCTTAAAACAAACTTAGCGCGTCCCATAAGTCATGTGACAGTTGACACATTTCACGATCGCGCGAAATCAAATCTAACTAAATGGGCGGTTTTTTCATTAAATATTATGTAATTATTGCGTTATCAATGGAATACGAATAACATTAGTGCTTGCCATAATGATAGACGCGTCCATAATTGTTATGCCTGAAATAGTTTTATTACATAGAGCTACGCCATTCAAATTTGGGACTATGTTTACCTTGTTTGGCACGATGTGCTGCAGTGAATTCATTGCTGGCTTGCAGAATACCAAAAAAACCGTAAGTAAGTAAAGTTTATGTTCAACATTTTAATTTTAATTGCATGGTTTTAGGCGTATTGGTAACGGAGATTAAGTTGCGAGAGGAAGTGAATTCGTTTCCAATTATCATTTTGGCCTATATGATGTTGATGCAGTGCGGTTGTATCATGATCACAAAGAAGGATCCGTGCAATATTCTTAGGAAAACGAGATTTATAGACTGTGTGTGCGTGCAATATCAAATTTTGGTCGCTACGCGTCTTGCCTACCTTTCGGCATATGTTGTACAATCGGTGGGGTTTCTTTTTAGCGCATTTCCACAAAAAAAAATGCGCTATTGTGGCCACTTTGTCCGTCCGTCCGTCCGTCCGTCCGTCCGTCCGTCCGCTAACTTTGCGACGCTACTAGTTTTTTATCTTAAGAGCTATTGTTCTACTTTTTCGCTATTTGGTTCGTTATGGTGTCGAGTCTTGTACCAAGGAAGGAATTTTTTCTGTACCGCTTACAAAAAAAGTTATTGTAAAAAAAAACAAAAAAACCGTTTTTTTACATGTTCTATAATTTTACACTTTTGCCGTTTATTAACGATCCTAGAGATCGTTTATAATTTTGCATTGCTATCTGTCGCCTGCCGGTTGGTCTCTCCGTCTGTTCCTTTGTCTGTCTGTCCCTCTATCTGTCCGTGTGAACGATAACTTTGTTTAGAAATGTTCGATCGCTTTTACATCTCCGTTAGTTATGAACTGAATTGCATGAAATTCAATATGGGCATAGATTTAGCCATATAATACGCAATGCCAAAAGTTGGATCGAATCGATTCAAAATTCACAGTGCCTTTTTCGCATCTCGACCATTTATAAACCGAATTGCAAACTTTTTTACTTATAAAAGTATTTGAATGAAATTTGATACATAGGCACTTGAAATAAAGGAAAATCAAACGCCAATTTCAAAATTTGGTTTTGCGCATGCGCAGTGCCAACTTTTTTATTTATGGAAGAATTTAAAAGAAATTTGATACATAAGCACTTCGAATAAAGGAAAATCAAACGCCAATTTCAAAATTTGGTTTTGCGCATGCGCAGTGGCAACTTTTTTATTTATGGAAGAATTTAAACGAAATTTGATACATAGGCACTTGGGATAAAGGAAAATCTAGCGCCAGTTTCAAAATTTTATTTTGCGCATGCGCCGTGCCAACTTTTTTATCTATGGAACTATTTAAGTGAAATTTGATACTTAGGCGCTTGAAACAAAGGAAAATCTTAGTTTATTAGTTAGTTATAGTAAATTAGTTTTAAAATTTAGGTTTGCGCATGCGCAGTTCCAACTTTCTTATTTAGAAAAGCATTGAAATGAAATTCTTCTCATAAACTGAAATTGCAGTAGCACGTCAACAATGGATTGCCCATGTGCAACGCTATCTTTCATATTTGTGGCCGGATTTTTACGATTTTAACAGAAGTTGCATCTTACAAATGAATGCAAGTGGAAATGCGCTTTATGTAAATCGTTTACGATTACTTTTTAACTTGTTGAAATTATAGTGTTAATTGTAGTAAGTAAGCTACACGTGTACATTTATTTAAAATAAATACAACATCTTAACAATGATATCCAATTGGTGATAATACTCATTTAGTCAACGTTCATTACGTTTGTAAAAGTTCACAATCCGAATCATCATCAGATGAAATTGACAAATCCGAATCATCACTGTCATTATTAACACTTATTATAAACTTCAGAAACATCAACCAATATAACTTCTCTTTTAAATTAATCACTTTCCACATGTTCACACACTTTCTTCCAGTTGTCAGCTGTAATTTTTTCAAATTCTTCATTTGCCAGCTTTCTAAATAACATCTTCCATTTTAAATGTAACATTTCTTTGCTGCTATGCAATTTAAATAAATAAAAAGGCGGTTTATTTATGTTGTAAAGTCTCAAATCTGATAATTTTCTGTGTGATTTGTGCTAACAATTTGATTGACAGTTATAATAAATAATGCGAATCTTGTCTTCCATGCTCAGGGTACCTCTATAAAGGATAGCGCTATATGTAATTAATGTGCCGAAAGTGATGGTAATAGATGGTACGTCCTTTTGAACTATGTTGGGGTATGGCTGTATCTATGTATTTATATATCTATGTGGGTATGTGAATCTCAGGGTAAACTAAAGTCGTGTAAACACCAATACGATCGCTTAAAGAGCAGCTTTATAGTAACCGCGTAGTACGGGAAGCTTTAAATGCTCTTCATTATTTGCTATACGTCCACAAATAAGAATAAGTTTGCTTTTTTTGGGATATCTAGGCGATTAATTAATTGACGTTTGTTAATTTATAGGTTGACAGCCTCAAATCGTGTCTCATCGGACAACTTCGGACAGACTCGTTTACCCTGAAACTCACATACCCAGGCGATGTCCTTGACCATATTTTAGTTACAATTAGCAGTCCATGTACTATATGGTCTAAGCAAAAAATGCATAAGGTTAGCAATCTGTGCTGTGTATGTTTAAGTAAGTCTACTCTGGTCCTGTCTTTGGCGCGCCTAACGCCAGAATCGGAGAGACGCTGATTGTAAAATGCAATATAAATCTGTACTGGGCCAGAGTGACATAGGGACCAATGCAGATTATACGAAATGCTGGGCCCATCAATGTATATGTTGTGGGAAGGGGTTGTTGCGCCAAGAATGACCTTTTAAAATGTTTGTTGGGCTAATCAATTTACTTTCGACTTGATTGCGCCTTTTATTGTTCTAGAAAATTCACTACAATAAAATACAAGAAAAACATACAGTTTATTTTATTGACCCAGAATAATAATCGCTGTTTAGAGTGGTCTGCTATCTTCATTAATTCTTCGCAAATGAATTGTAGTTACAGTATCATTTCTGAATGGCAAGGACCTTTTTTTTCCTATTATTAATTTAATAAACACCAAGATACAAAAAGCACATTACTTTGTTTCTTTTATTTGTAAATGCATTTATGTTTTAACATACAATCGTATATAAAATATGATGGATGTAATTAGTGTATAAAACAACATAAGCATGGAGTTAAATAGGTATATATACTTATATAAGTTAAAAGGTAATAGTAATACTTATTTTAGTATTCGTTTGTTTATTGATGCACTGAAAAAAGAGTGTTACTCCAACAAGCATGCTCTGCCTCCGCTACTCTTAAAACACAAAAACGAACGTATACCCTTTGATTGCATTAAAAAATGTACAATAATATACTATCCCACCCTATCATCGTTAGTAGTTTCGTTAGTGGCATTCACGGATACTGGCGGTAGATAATACGCTTTAATTAAACCGTGCACTCGAGCGACTTCGATGTCCTCCCTTTCTACGGTTCGAAGTAGTTGTGCAAACTTCACGATACCTTCTCGTCCCTCTGGAAAACCAAAGTCTTTTATTACGTCCATTTCTACTTGCATTACAATTGGAAAGATGTACTGCATCATTTTTAACATTTCATTGCCGACATTGTCTTTGGCTTCCTCCAACTTTTGCACGTTGGAAGATTCTTGTAATTGATCGAGTACTTTACTGAGTATTGTAATTGCAAGTTCTGATGTTAGATTTATTTCTTTCGACATTTTTCAAAATTGTTTTTTTTACAGCGATATTGAGGTTATGGTTATTACTGAGTGCAGAAAACTGCATTACCTTACCATCCTTTTAGTTGAGCATTGCTTTCACAGAAGTCGCCACTAACACAGAATGTGAACAATATCTTCCTCGAAATCTCTGAATATCCTGCACTTGCTGTGACTTCCTTAAGAAATTGAAAGAGTTCCTCACACTTTTGCTTGATTTCATCAGGCTTCCTCGCAACTTCCAAAAAAGCATAGACAAAATATCTGTAATATGATGCAACGATTATGAAAATACACACCACACCATCGTGAATGGTTCCGTAGTGTAGCGGTTATCACGTCTGCTTTACACGCAGAAGGTCCCCGGTTCGATCCCGGGCGGAACCACTTTTTTTATTTATTTCAAACTAAGGTATCTGGGTTCCCAAACTCTCTTGGAATTAGTTTTTGCCGATTACTAATCCGTAAATGAAGTTTTGTTGAATTGCTCTTTGTACCATGAGTTATGAGTTTCGGCTTCAGATTCAGACACACAGACGGACTATTATTATGTAGAAATATTATGGTTGCTCATTCGTTTTGCTATTTTTTTTAGACATTTCTGATTTCACTAACTATAGGTACTGGGCAGAGCTGGGCAGTATTCGATACTTTTTAGTATTCAAATCCTTTAAAGTATTCAAATACTTTGTAATTAAATACTTTTATGGAATCAGTATTTGTATTTGTAACTCAAATACTTTCACAAATATTTAGTATTCGAATACTTCGCAAAGTATTTGGATACTTCGTAAAGTATTCGAATACTTCGCAAGGTATTTGAATACTTAACCTTCCTTTTTACCAAAAATCGACTACTCCAAAATTTCTCGGGAAAACACTTTTGATCTAGTAGCCCAATCTTGGAACTGTTTGAAATTATGGATTCTACAGGCCACATTTTATAAGAAATTTTTTTCCGGGTCGATCTGAGACAATTTCTTCTTCGGGCTTCAAAAAAAGGCAGTGTAGGTATAACCTTCCTTTTTTACCAAAATTCGACTGCACCAAAATTTCTCGGGAAAACCACTTTTTCTTATTAATTTTGGTGCGTAGAATCCAAAACAAATCGTACTTTTTCGATTAGACTTCTCAATCAAAAGTTATGGACTAGAAACCAATTTCGAAAGAAAATTCAAAGACCTGTAACCATTGAATTTATAACTATTATAAATTCAATGCTGTAACTTTTGAACTAGTAGCCCAATCTTGGAACTGTTTGAAATTATGGATTCTACAGGCCACATTCTATAAGAAATTTTTTTTCCGGGTCGATCTGAGACAATTTCTTCTTCGGGCTTCAAAAAAAGGCAGTGTATAACCTTCCTTTTTTACCAAAAATCGACTGCACCAAAATTCCTCGGGAAAACACTTTTTCTTATTAATTTTGGTGCGTAGAATCCAAAACAAATCGTACTTTTTCGATTAGACTTCTCAATCAAAAGTTATGGACTAGAAACCAATTTCGAAAGAAAATTCAAAGACCTGTAACTTTTGAACTAGTAGGCCAATCTTGGAACTGTTTGAAATTATGGATTCTACAGGCCACATTCTATAAGAAATTTTTTTTCCGGGTCGATCTGAGACAATTTTTTTTTCGGGCTTCAAAAAATACTTTATGTCCGATTGTATAATAATCAATACTTTATGATATTCTTTTGCGGCCATAAAGTGGCTCTTTATGGACGGCGGCCATAAACAAATGTCACGTGGTCGGTTGTCAAAATAATTTATTTATACATAACAAAATAAATATAAATGCGAAACACCTGAAGAAACACCTACTTCGGGGAGTGCTTATTCGAGTAGTAATTGTTAATATTAATCACGCAATCCACATTGTTCTTTATAAAGAGTTGTCCACTCATTTGTTGTCTTTCTTCGATTTCTTTATGATGAGATGAAGGACCCGCTCCGCCTAGGATTTTCGTCGCAACGTTGACTTTTGTCATTTCCGACCCTTCGACGTAGCCTTCCGCGACACTAGCCGAGCGCCATCCTCCATAGCGCATGATGTCGGATATCGGATTTATGGCTCAGTGGTAAGAGCATTGGGTTATAAATCCGAAGGTTGGGTGTTCGAACCTGGGTTGAGGTGAATTTTTCATCTGTGGCGGAGATGGAAATTACCTTAGGCCAGTTCCGAGCATTCTACCGGCTACTCCGAATTAGGTTTTCCTGCAGTTTTCCTAATTCGTAAGGTAAATACCGGAGTAGTATAGACCAACTTAAGACCTTCTGCAGAGGCACCTCTAAATAGCATTATGCGGGTCACTCTGTAATTGGGCGCATGCCTGTTGAGGGCCCAAAACAAGAGAGGGATAATAATAATAATAATAATAATAATAACAAAACAAAGAAACACCATAAATACAATTAAAAAACACAAAACTCCTTCTTCACAGAAACACACCACGTTATCACAACCCACTCGTATTCAACCCAAACGCAAAGCCAAAGAAACACTTACACAATAAACTCCATTTAATAAAATTACAGGAATTATTATAATGATTTTTTTTGTTTTGTTTTGTTTTCCTCTTTCCTGATAGCGTTGGCTATTGTGCCCATCAATAGGTATGTTGGTAAGTACGAATTACATACTATCCCTAGATGTCCAATGTACGTGTGTGATTTTAATTTTTTTTTATTTTTTTTATTTTTTTTTTTTTACATACATAACTTCACCAGACACAGACATAGACACTAATCGTTACTTGATTTTAATCCGTGCGATTAGTTAACCAGGCTAGACCTGAGTTCTCACAAGAAACACCGACCATAATTATAATAATAATTATGTCCAACGATATGTTACACTACTTAAGAACACCTAGCAGTTGCACGTTCATCGTACTTAACCAATTTAATGGCAAGTTCTCAAAACATGCCGAAAGCCGCATGGGAAATTATTAAGCAAAACACTGAATCCCCTAAACTGTTTGAAAATATTAAGCTCCAACTGGATAGAAATTACACCACTTATGGTCCAAATGAAATAGCTTCGTTATTCAACAAACATTTCTCTGATACGGCTTTTCATACATCAAGTAATCTGTCGAATTACCAACCACGCTTTTGTGGTTTAACTCATTCTCATAACTCGTTCTTTCTAAGCCTTGTTACTCATCAGGAAACAGCGGATATTATACAGTCATTGTCAAATAAATTTTCTATCGCTTTGGGTTATTCGACAACTGGAAAAGACGTGGGAGTCAGATAGGCTACAATATAGGGTGTCTCACAACAAACAGAGCCGTCTTTGTTTGGAAAATGGGTGTTGTTTGTACGCACTAAAATTTTCTCTGAAGTTCACTAAGTAATTGACCAGGGACCCGATTTGACTACCCTTGGTTGAGTTATAATCCCTTGTAGAACAGTAACTTGCTTCCTTGTTTTTAAACACAAAGCCCACGTAATAAAAAAATATTAAGCCACTGTATAAAATCTTCTATTCCCTGTATACTTTCGCGGACACACGTACGCAATGCTTCGCGTGCTCTAACCCGAATTAGAATTTTCCCAGTATTAAAATTCTACTGTTGAGAGCCCGTAATAGTTGAATATGGCTTGTCGCTAGGTGGCTAAACGAAAAATGCCTACTTTTCTTCTAATTAATTGACGCCCCGAAATGGCGCTTTATTAATGAATTCGGCCATTTTTAATCATTAACTCTAATTATAGGGGGAAATATTTCGAACAAAATTTCTGAAATGTGCACATAACCTGCCCATCAGCATTTATCGTCCCTTACCATTCCGAGGAATTTTGATTATGACATTCCCAATTGGTCCTCCTTCAAACCTTTTAACTGTACAGTGATACTCTTTCCCAGCGTTGCACTCCGAAGTTTAATTTTTTCATCAAGTCTACTGGAAAACAAGGACAGTTTGTAAACATATCCTTATATGTATGTAACAGAAAATAGGACGAAGTAAAAAAAAACTATAACTAGGTAACGGTCGTCATTAACTTTCTAGGAGTGGAAACCATTTATGGACCCATTTTATCGATTCTTATCATCTCGTCTGAGAATCGTTGTGGAACATCGATTCTCTCCATACTATATTTAAAAGTTTAATCATTGCACTTTGTGACACCCCCGTTTCATATTTGTGAGTCTTTGGATTTTCGCGCGTGGGCCAATTTAGTTCGAATGGTATTTTAACCTGGGTCGTTACTACAATCTGTCATCTTTCGTAGACCAATTTTGGTTTATTCCCTTTCCAGCGATAAACGGTATAAGCACACATTTCTTAAACTTAAATTCCCTCATCTTTCCAATCAAAAAGTACTGCCGCGACTAGACAATGTTACGGAGCCGTTTAGAATTTTATTAAAGTGCAAGTGTACGCCAGGCTAGGTAGATAATTTAAAAAAGCTTTTGTATTAAGAAAATGGAAATTAGTTGTGTTAAATGTTAGATTAGTGACACTTCCGACATTCCTTTGAGAATAGTCATACAGTATCGCACAGAAATTCAAGTCCGACGGTATTTAATAACATGTGACAAATTATCCAACTGAATTATATGAAACAATTCCTCCAATATAAACAGACAGCAGAGACAAATGGGGAAAACAATACTAATCCCTAGGGAAGAGTTGACTAGGAACACATGACCACTTCCAGAAATTAATCCCAATTATCAATAATTAAGACTGACAGCACGCCTTACGGATTATAAGGGAATAAGCGTAGAAAAAAGGTCGAATATTTTATCAAACATTTAAATCAATCACACCCCCGGGCGTTAGCGTTCCGGTGACACAACGAGCATCGCCATAAAACGTGTATGTACCTTTAAAACCACGCTTGAAATATTTAAATGTTCTCCGGGAGATTTTTATCACAGATAAATTTAAATAGAAATCGGAAGCTGGAGACTGCATCGAGGACATCTAAATTATGTGTTTTGTTTTTACAGCGAGCCAGTCATCGATTTTTGTATCGTTTTTCGAACGATAGCTCTAATTGCATTTACGTAATGCGAACGACTTGTCTTCGGTCTTGGACGATTAAGGGATGACATACGAGCAGGTTTTCTCAGTCGAAATGCCATACATAATCGTTTTTTGTTAATGTAAACGTGAAAGATACATTTTTATTCTTTACTCAAAGACCTCCACGAAGCAACCCCATTATAAAAGTTTCACATTGCTAACGGCGTCGACGTCTTGTTATCACATTGACAAAGAGAAATTGTCGCTTTTTTCTCGTTATCTAGATGTATCTAAATTACTGAAGTGTTGAAACAACGATCTACTAATACTATTCGTCTCTCGAGTAGTTGCGTACGTTCTGTCAAATCTGAACTGAGTTGACCAGACACTTCCATTACCAAACTTTAAACTCTCGGTTATTTATGGATCGTTTGGACAGAAAATCGTCTTTTTAGCGCATTTCCACAGAAATTAAAAAAAAATGCGCTAATGTGGCCACTTTGTCCGTCCGTCCGGCTGTCCGTCCGTCCGTCCGCTCGTTTTGCGACGCTACTAGTTCTTTATCTTAAGAGCTATTGTTCTACTTTTTTCGCTTTTTGGTTCGTTATGGTGTCGAGTCTTGTACCAAGGAAGGAATTTTTTCTGTACCGCTTACAAAAAAAGTTATTGTAAAAAAAACAAAAAACCGTTTTTTACATGTTCCATAATTTTACACTTTTGCCGTTTATTAACGATCCTAGAGATCGTTTATAATTTTGCATTGCTATTTGTCGCCTGCCGGTTGGTCTCTCCGTCTGTTCCTTTGTCTGTCTGTCCATCTATCTGTCCGTGTGAACGATAACTTTGTTTAGAAATGTTCGATCGCTTTACATCTCCGTTAGTTATGAACTGAATTGCATGAAATTCAATATGGGCATAGCTTTAGCCATATAATACGCAATGCCAAAAGTTGAATCGAATCGATTCAAAATTCACAGTGCCCTTTTCGCATCTCGACCATTTATAAACCGAATTGCAAACTTTTTTACTTATAAAAGTATTTGAATGAAATTTGATACATAGGCACTTGGGATAAAGGAAAATCAAACGCCAATTTCAAAATTTGGTTTTGCGCATGCGCAGTGCCAACTTTTTTATTTATGGAAGAATTTAAACGAAATTTGATACATAGGCACTTGGGATAAAGGAAAATCAAACGCCAATTTCAAAATTTGGTTTTCCGCATGCGCAGTGCCAATTTTTTTATTTATGGAATTTAAATGAAATGTGATACATAGGCACTTGGAATAAAGGAAAATCTAGCGCCAGTTTCAAAATTTTATTTTGCGCATGCGCAGTGCCAACTTTTTTTAATCTATGGAAGCATTTAAGTGAAATTTGATACTTAGGCGCTTGGAAGTTGGAACGAAGGAAAATCTAGCATTAGTTTTAAAATTTAGGTTTGCGCATGCGCAGTTCCAACTTTCTTATTTAGAAAAGCATTGAAATGAAATTCTTCGCATAAACTGAAATTGTAGTAGCACGTCAACAATGGATTGCCCATGTGCAACGCTATCTTTCATATTTGTGGGCGGATTTTTACGATTTTAACAGAAGTTGCATCTTACAAATGGGAAATGAATGCAAGTGGAAATGCGCTTTAGGTAAATCGTTTACGATTACTTTTTAACTTGTTCAATTTAATCGCTAAACAAGCGATATCAACAAACCGCGCCGGTACTTCCTCCATGCCGAAAACCGTTTTAAAACAAAACTGTGCTAATCCGTGATCGGCAATGAAATTGGAACAAGAAATTATTACATGTAAACAGTAAGTACCTACTTTGTCGATTTATTGAAACGATATAACTTGGACAATCATCGTTACCAGGACCGGCTAAGACAAAAGTTACGGTTAAGCACGGTTAGGCCAAGTTAAGTAGCCTAAATAAGGGAAACTGTTGGCAAGCAGGTTTTTTCAAATACAGAGGTTCATATTATTAACAAGTTAAAAAGTAATCGTAAACGATTTACATAAAGCGCATTTCCACTTGCATTCATTTCCCATTTATAAGATGCAATTTCTGTTAAAATCGTAAAAATCCGGCCACAAATATGAAAGATAGCGTTGCACATGGGCAATCCATTTTTGACGTGTTACTTCAATTTCAGTTTATGAGAAGAATTTCATTTCAATGCTTTTTTAAATAAGAAAGTTGGAACTGCGCACGCGCAAACCTAAATTTTAAAACTAATGTTAGATTTTCCTTTGTTCCAAGCGCCTAAGTATCAAATTTCACTTAAATGGTGCCATAGATAAAAAAGTTGCCACTGCGCATGCGCAAAAGAAAATTTTGAGACTGGCGCTCGATGATCCTTTATTCCAAGTGCCTATGTATCACATTTCATTTAAATTCTTCCATAAATAAAAAAAGTAGGCACTGCGCATGCGCAAAGCCAAATTTTGAAACTGGCGTTTGATTTTCCTTTATCCCAAGTGCCTATGTATCAAATTTCGTTTAAATTCTTCCATAAATAAAAGTTGGCACTGCGCATGCGCAAAACCAAATTTTGAAATTGGCGTTTGATTTTCCTTTATCCCAAGTGCCTATGTATCAAATTTCGTTTAAATTCTTCCATAAATAAAAAAGTTGGGACTGCGCATGCGCAAAACCAAATTTTGAAATTGGCGTTTGATTTTCCTTTATCCCAAGTGCCTATGTATCAAATTTCGTGTAAATTCTTCCGCAAATAAAAAAGTTGGCACTGCGCATGCGCAAAACCAAATTTTGAAATTGGCGTTTGATTTTCCTTTATTCCAAGTGCCTATGTATCAAATTTCATTCAAATGCTTTTATAAGTAAAAAATTTTGCAATTCGGTTTATAAATGGTCGAAATGCGAAAAGGGCACTGTGAATTTTGAATCGATTCGATTCAACTTTTGGCATTGCGTATTATATGGCTAAAGCTATGCCCATATTGAATTTCATGCAATTCAGTTCATAACTAACAGAGATGTAAAAGCGATCGAACATTTCTAAACAAAGTTATCGTTCACACGGACAGATAGATGGACAGACAGACAAAGGAACAGACGGACAGACCAGCATGCAGACGACAGATAGCAATGCAAAATTATAAACGATCTCTAGGATCGTTAATAAACGGCAAAAGTGTAAAATTATGGAACATGTAAAAACGGTTTTTTGTTTTTTTTACAATAACTTTTTTTGTAAGCGGTACAGAAAAAATTCCTTCCTTGGTACAAGACTCGACACCATAACGAGCCAAATAGCGAAAAAAGTAGAACAATAGCTCTTAAGATAAAGAACTAGTAGCGTCGCAAAACGAGCGGACGGACGGACGGACGGACGGACGGACAAAGTGGCCACAATAGCGCATTTTTTTTTTATTTTTGTGGAAATGCGCTAAAAACATTTATTAGTAGTAGCCCCGCTTCCGGATTCTGGAGTTGATCAAAATGGACGTTGTGGTTGTGTCTACCGTATGAAAAAAAGGTTGCTTTTGTAGGTACATACATTCTTCGGGATCGGTAGATGCTTCGTCCGTGCCCTCGTAGTAAAATAAAGCCCGCTTATGTCTATGTCTTTTAGATGGCATATTTTACGCATCTCAACAGGAATATCCAATTCTCCAGTTAAATCCTTGAAAGCTACATATAATATGGCCGACTTGACAACCTAGTGTCTATATGAGATATGAAAAATAGGATTTTTTTCAATGTATCTTTTATCGTATAAATGCTTTTATGCGTGATCGTTTGGTCTTTAAAATAGAAACGGCGTTTACATCCATGATTCGACAATCATTAAATCTGAGTAATTTTTGCGCCCCTTCTTGTCTGCGCCGTAAGCAAAGGGTTACATCCGAGGTTACATCGCTTACGCCTCAAGCCGACCCTGATTGTTATACGATTTATCGTAGTCGAGATCGTGATGACCAAATGTATCCACCGAGGCAAAGATTATCTTTGACTGAGGTATCCACCAACAAGAGAGCCACGAATGTGGAAACATCGCCTGGGTATAGACAACGTATTAACTGATCACTATAGGGTGATGAGGGAAAATGATGGAGATGATGGCATTTCGAAGATCTGTACCCATTCATCTGATGGATGGCATATTCCGTTCCGGCTAAAGCTTTCGCAACGCTTTAAAATGATGACGAACTCGGCCAAATGCGATAATCTTCTCCATATTCGAGTGTTAGGTAAGCAGCAAAAGGAGCGTGAAATCATCCACTTTTTTCAAACTTTCACCAAGTACCTACAATGAAAGTAAATGTTGGGCGCCTAACCGCGCACTTTATTACCCTTTTTATTAGATTACATTGCGACATTGTTGCGGTAAAATTCATTAGACCAAGAACATTTTTTAGGCAAGCCAAACGTACCTATCTTTACTAGCTTTTAGCACGTCGTCAATTACAATAATTACATAATATGAACGAATTAACCGTTTGAATACATTTTTGGGGATTCCACGCCGCATTTTGAAACCAGCCGCGCGCACGAAAAAAAACAAATATTTGAATGGTGGGACGGTTTCGCCGTGAGAGTAGTTCGTAACTTGATCATAACCGGCTTTGTTAGTGAGCATGTCGCTAGAGAAGCGAACGGTGTCGCGGTCGTCGTTCATACAAAAACTGAATCACTTTGACTCATCAATTGTGTGTTAGTGTAGTTGAAGTAGTTTTGACTGTGATAAATAGTTTCTTTTTTTACAAATTTATACAAGATGAATACGCAAAAGGAAGTCGGGGTCGGCGATTTCGTACTGCTCGATAAAATTGACATTGACAATTTTATGCAAAATTTGGAAATTAGGTGAGTATCGAGCAACGATTTTTTTTAAAGATTAGTACCTTGCAATGCAAAGGGGCGTGTCCCCGCACAGGTGTTTAGTATTCAATTGTTCTTTAAATCGTTGGTGTTGTGTTTCGAATTTTACCATGACACACTTCTCTTCCTTGTAGGAACGTACAGGCCTACAGGGTGTCTCCAAGGGATCGGCATGCCCAAAATTCATTATAAATCTAATCTCGTTACTAAATTAAGTAAATACCTACTTCAAAGATAACTTGCTTGAGAAGTACATGTGGACCTATTACACATTTTTCTAAAAATAAATGTTGAAGCAGTTGAAGACTTGCGGGTTAAGTGCATTACCCTCGAGATTACCCTCCGATGGTGTTTTGTGCACTTTACACCAAAATCGATTTTTTTAACGTGCGGTTCCTTCTGAGTCACTTCGCTGATCTCATCATTTAATTAATGGAATACTTAACTATTACACGAGCTTTAATCATAAAACTTATTCTTTCAATAAATTTTAGGTAGGTACTTGACTTTCATTGTGGACTGAATTCTAATTGACAGACTACCGTTAACTGGGCATTCGTAATTGGCAATTACCGTATGACCAGAAGTGACATTGAAAATTTAATTTTTGGGCTAAGGGTAATGCCTCCAGCTATGTTTACCATAATATTTGGTCAATCACACGCAGTCGGCGCGTAGTAGTTACCTTGTGTTTGTTTTGTGATGCAATGCGGTCATTAACGAGCGAAGATATAAAATTACTAACGACTTCCACGGTCTTTTAAGAGACATAAAACAGACATTGTTGTATACCTGTAAGTAGCAGAGGGGGAGACAGCGATAGGTAAGGTATTCCGTTGTCTTCGGTCGAGTTTGGCATAGTTCATATGTGATTACCTATGTGAACAATTACAAGATTGGATAGGTAATTAATTAATTAGGTTTAGGGACTAATTATACGTTTGAAATCAATTATTAAGACAGACTTTTCATGGTCCCCTTCTTACGATTTGACAAATGGAATTTGCGAATTTTAATTTGATCTCCCCAGAGTGATACACCCGAGGATACACCTCAATAAGTATTTCAAGTTTTAGTCATGGAAGTTTGGTCCGTGAACTTAACAGAACATCTGCGGCCCAACACTTGGAACCGAACTAGGAACCATGTATAGGTGGATTAGTTAGTGCCACGTGCGCCGTAAACAGTTCAACAATAAAACATACCGTTTGAAAATATCGCGGTTTTTCTGCAAACTTCGCACCGATCAGGAAACATCAAATTTAGATGTTCTACATTCTAAACAAAAATGAATTTCTTATTTTACAATCTACCAGCGGCGCACCGAAAAAAAGTTCGAGGGTAGAAAATGGAACATGACCCCAGAAAAAAACATTACCCTGTCGGTCGATTCTTACTACCATAGACATGACCAATGGTGTGAGCCAAAATCGAAATTTGTATCTTAAAACTGCAGGAGATACTCGAGGAGATATAAAGAAAAAACCGAGGAAAAAAATTAAAAAATTTTGAAATTATAACACACTGTAGATCGGTAACGAAGCATTTGCTTAAGTATCTATCTTGCTTAGTCATAGAAGAATCAAATCAATTAGACCTTCCGTATGTACTTATTTAGGAACACCTTGTATATTGATGGTTACAAACGCCGATAAGATTTATATACGGGGGGCTTTATTTTTTCAAACATGGAAACAGTTCAGGGAGCTCGGATAATCGAAGGCGAGATCGAAGGGCACTCGCGAGTGTTTTGGAGTTCCGGTACCGTTCTGATACAACCGGAAAAGCGGCTATTTTGAAAATATGTTTAAATGATTAATTTTCATCGATTATTCAAAAAAGGTAATGGGTCCCGATTCGAAATTCCAAACCGTTCCTGAAATACTCCGAATGGTCCACTTAGAAACACCACCCTGTATATCGCTGCTGAATCCCCCATGACGTGTTACTGTTCCAGAACGCGCAGGACGAGGCGAAAGCTTGGAATTGGTCGACGGTCTTCCACATAAAAATATCTGATTTTATATCGGTACTTTCTAAACGATTGCAATAAAAATATTTTGAAAATTCAAAAAGTGGGGGGCTCAAATTTTGAAATTTGAATAATTAAATAACGGTCAACCAACAAACGATTGCAATAAAAATATTCTGAAAATTTCAAAAGTGTGGGGGGGGGGCTAACTTGACACCGATCTTTCCAGCATGGTGCTAAATTGTTTCGATTTTGTATCAATGCCCGTGTAGTGGCGGAAAAGAATAGCCCTACCGCAGAGATTGCTGCGTGTCGTAGGACGCGACTAAACATCGGCAGGTCAGGCGCAATCCTACCGCCAGGATTTGGAGGGAGGGGGGGGGGGTGGCGAAAGGTGTTTGTGGAATGAAAAGATTTTGAACTCTAAAGCTTGCAGTACGAGCGAGTCGTGAGAAATTACTCCACGTTGAGTCCATTTATTGCTGCGAGCAATCGGATTGGACAGCAAAAATTGTTTTATTGGTGAAAATGGGTTTGCGTCACGGGCGGAGTGTCATTAAACAAAATAAAGAGTGGGAAGTTGGTTGAACGGAGACAACTGTTAAGGAAATTAGAGTGAAGCGGTCGGCACAGTTAAGTCGACCACCTGTAATTTAGCGTAGGGCGGATTAGTTATTTTGTACGAAATTCGCATGGAGCCGCAAGCGAAGTTAAGTTAACCACCCGTGGAATACAGTGGGAGAAAGAGAATTCGCGCCTAGAAGTGAAGTAAATTATTACTTCCGGAGAAATTTTGTGCGTGTACGTTACCGAAGTTACATTAATTACGGTAAATACCAACAGTAGTGGAAGTGAATGAAATTTTAGTGACCCTCAAATTAAAGGGTAACTCGGGATTGACCGCTCCAAATGAAATTCTGTGGGCCTGAAAACTAGAACAGTAGACATTCAGGTATTTTTACCGTCGGATTACCTAAATTTTGAGCGACACAAAAAATGGGTTTATTGAACTTGTATGACGTTTAAAATATAATTTGGCGTTACAAAAAATGGGGCCATTGGCCTTGGATGACCTTGGAAGTATATTTTAACAAAAAAGTGACCTTGGATGACTTTAAAAATGTAATTTGACACCACGAAAAAGGGGTCTTTGAACTGGGATGGCTGTGAAAATTAAATTTGACACAATTAAAATGGAGCCATTGATTGACCTTGGATGGCATTGAAAATGGACACCACAAAAAAATAATTGACCATGGATGACAATATCGAAAATGTAATTTGATATCACAAGAATTGGCTTTGTATGACCTTTGAAATGGCATTTGGCGCTACAACTGCTTGGTCTTGGATGGCCCTGAAAATGTATTTTGACAGCAAAAATGGGGCCATTGACCTTGAGTTGCATTGAAAATGTAATTTGACATAAAAAAGTAGTTAGCCCCGGATGACCTCGAAAATGTAATTTGGCACCACAAAAATGGCACCATTGACCTTGAGTGGCATTGAAAGTGTAATTTGACATCACAAAAAAGTAATTGGCCCTGTATGACTTCAAAAATGTAATTTGACATCACAAAAATGAGTTCTTAAATTTGTATGACCGTTGAAATGTAACTTGGCATTACAAAAAATCGGGGCATTGGCTTTGGGTGGCCTTGAAAATGTATTTTGACCACACAAATAGGGCCATTGATCTTGGGTGGCATTGAAAATGTAATTTGACACCACAAAAAGTAATCGACCATGGATGACCTTTGATTTGAGATCACCAAAGGGGCCATTAGCTTTGCAAATGTAATTTTACACCTCAAACAATGAAACACGGCAACCAAATCGTGTCCCTTGAGTTTTTCAAGGTCGCCAGGTGGCGAGCGACCTTGAATTGGTCCAGGTGAGGCCTTGTATATCTACTCTTTAATTTTACATAAATGAAAAAAGAATGGCACCTACCTCATATACGACGGCCCTGTCACAGGTGACAACGTTGCTACAGAATTGGTTTGGATACAATCTTCCTTCTGTGACAATGAATTAGACAAGATAGGCGACGAATTGTTTTCTTTAGCTGTTTTGGTGTATCCTTGTATTTTAAAAATTACCAGCAAACCATCATTTTTATTAATACAACTGTTTGTGGTTAACAAGTTTGACTATAACATTGGAAACACTTGGTTACATTATCAGAAGTAGGAGAAAGCTTTCTGATGTAGTAAAATACTTTACCAAATTCCCACGGGAACGGAAACAGAAAAAACAGAATTTTCTGTTTTACGGTTGAAAAGAGACCCGGGGTTTAGAACGTTGGTTTCTTTGAAGTTGTTAAAGTATAGTCCGAAAGAGACTTCCCGAAGTTCCCTCGGGAACGCGGAAAAAGGGGTTTCCCAAAGGCGACACGAAGTTCGTCAGTTTTAAAATAAAATTGATTAGTACGAGCGGATCTTTCATTCCTGGTTTGGTAAATACCTACTTGTTAAAATCTCTTCTGCTCATTTTTGGACAATGTAATGTGAATCTTGCAAACTGACGCAGGTTCGAGAGCCGCGTTGGTTCGGTCAGAACAGTTTTTATTTCAGGGCGATCTCTGTTTGGACTTCTTACGTCCCTTAAAGGAATCGGTATATTACTATGTGAATACAAGAATATGGTTACCTTATTCGTACAGCAAACATTCAAATGATTGAATAGGAAATCCTATGCCTCGTAAAAGGAATGGCTTCTTTGATTTGAAGTGAACAGTGAAACATTAGATGATCAGCGGCAAGCGTCAATGTCGTCTTTCGATATTATGTGCACTTCCGACGTGCGGAGAGTTACGTCATGGCAGGATTATTGTAAGTCCATTCACCTCGAAATATTACTATGATAGAAGTTTTATTTCCGCGCGTTAAATTTATGCTGTAGTCCGTATTCTCGACTGTATTTCAGGTTACCAGATTTTAATTTTTTACGAGTTAAAATTTCCACTATTGTTTGTATTTAACGTAATAGTTTCTAAGCCGCAAATTATCGTGTGTAAATGAGAGTCGCTCGCAATTTTTTTCATGTACCTAGAATTGTCACCAATGTATAAAAAAACATCCTGCGATAAATTAAAGGTGGTAAACACCCCGCGTTAATTTACAGGTGAACGACTTTACTGCGTTAATCGCTTCACGCGTATTCTTTCGGGCTTCAACGCGAATTTCCTAACAGTCCTCTCCGAACAACGAACTCTACGGAGGAGTATCCATAATGACGATTGCAAATCAAACAAAATCTGCCTGGCAATCTGAACTAACCACGCCACATCACACGACTCGTTGGCGGCGCAAGCCATTCGCCCACATACAAAATTAAAAACTAAAAAAACTACTATCGTCTAAATTCGTTACAATCGAAAAATAAATCATAATCGGTTAAAAATAAAAATCAAAATCTTGTCATACTGCAAATACTCTACTCACCAAAATTTCGCTGCTAGGATTGCGGCTGACTGACCGTTGTTTAGTCGCCTTCTACGACACGCAGTGCTCTCTGCGGTAGGGTTATTTTTTCGCGGTCTCGCACGGGTAATCTCAGAAGAACTGTCCACGAAATGCCAATATAAATCTAAAAAAACAATAGATACAAAAATCGAATCCAATAATAACGTTAACGGGCTCCCGTTACATTATGTATACAAAAAATACAAATCACATGACCCATTACAGTACTGAAATAAAATGTCATTCTTGAAGTTTCAAATGCTTGAGTGGCCATACATTCCATGTAGAAACTTTTATTTAAAATTCGGACTGTGAAGACAGTACAGGAAATCATTCCAAGCACAAGCCAAGTCGGCGGAATTGCCTTCAAAAACGGAACTTCAGGACGATTTCCTGGTATAATCAAAGCTCGACCATGACCTACGGCTGTTTTATTTTAAGCTTTCCTTTGTAGTCTTGAAGCGCCATGTAAATAAATTGGCTGGTTGAAAAATAAACTACGTGGATATACATGTCAAAATCTTGGTAAGTATTTTGTTTAAATAAATAAACATGGAAAAGTAAATTTCTTGGTTTAAATATGTCAAAAAAACTCTTTGCAATATGCATTGAAGATGAGATGTGTTGCAATTTGCAAAGATAACAACACAAAATTTTGAGACACGAAGGATCAAGGGTTGAAACTTAGGAACCCCTTTGGTTCGAAATCACTACTGGATTTGGGGAAGAAATTTTTCATTCCTGAGGACACTTCTAACGAGTGCCGAGTACTTATTTGCGCACCGTCACTTTTAATTATTGATGAGATGAGAAGGTAAATGACTTGAAACATTTGAAATTCCTTCTGACCACATGTCTCGGTTTGTCTTGGAAAAAGTGTATAAATTAAAGAAAGAACTTGTTTATCTTATAATTTCACTTCAATTATGAACTCTATTATCTAAGTATAGATTAGGCATGAAATGTAATTAAGTTCGATGTAAATTGCAGTCAGACTAAATAAACTTCTAAAGCTATTTCTAATCGTATCGTTTTTTCCTCTGTTTAGGTTCATTGAAGAAAATCAATTTGTGTGTCAGTCGCGGATAAATCCAGGTTGTCTATCGAGCGCAATAAGTGTACAGTTTTTATGGGAAAGCATTCCAATTTCCTCCATCCGTCCCCTAGTCATTATCGCAAAGCTAATTATCGTTATCGGGATGGGTTATCATCATATGAGAGATTGTGTTTTTTACATGAATGTAATTACAAAAATGACTATTCCGGCCATTGTTTCAAATAAATGAGAAAAACAGACTAATTGCTTTACCACTTAACCTTGGACGAATACGGAAAAATTGATATCGGCAACATTTTAAATAAACGGAAAATTATTCCCTCCACTTTTGTAGAACAGTGGTACCTCAATTTTTCCGTTGCACCTTTCGCGAACAATTTTAAGAAAATTTGAAGAGGGCAAGACGATTGCAAGATTCAAGAGAATTCTAAGAATATTGTTTTAATAGACCATTTTTTGGCAAATAGTGGAGACTGAGATATATTGAGACTGAGACTCAGCCTTAGTAGTGGATAGGGCTATGGTTGCCTGACTCTTGGAATTCCATGAGATACTTCCATTTCGAGTTCCATTTTGATAAATGAAACGGTAACCAGTAGTTGATCGTCCATTGTCCAAATCGTTGGTCCAATCAGCGTCTGTGAAAGCTTTCATGTCTTGACCGCTGATCAGTGAACTTTTCCTGAATTTTTTTCCCCAATTGTCTAAGAAGAAGTATTTCAAAAGGGTTCAAGAAAAAACATTTCCAAGAGCGATTCAATAATGCCTAGACATTTTGAATAGAGATTCAAACTCAAGGAAACAAGACAATATCAAGAATATTACAAAAAGTGTTCAAGAAAAGACCAACAGAATTTCGATCGTATTTGTCAAAGTTTTGTTTCAAAAAATCTCATAAGAGTGTAAACAGGAAGGTTTCAAAAGTATGTCCCAAAAGAAAATTCCAAAAAACTTTCATGGGAGCTTCCGGGCAGTTTCAAAAGTTTGGTAGAAAAGCTATTAGAGAGATTGGAAGTTTAAAGAGACTCTTGAAAATTTCAGGAGCATTTCAAAGTGGTTCAAGAAGAAAATAAATTCTAAGAGGGATTCAATAACATTTCAGAGAAATTTTAAGACTCGGAAGTATGAAGGCTTCAAGAGAGTTCCCACAGCTTTTTAATAGGGGTTCAACCAGACAATTTCAAGAATGTTATAGAAAAGCTTCAAAATGCTTGCAAGGGTTTCCAGAAAATATGAGAATTTCAATCGTAGCTGTCAAACTTAAAAGTGTAATCAGTTTGAAGAAAGTTGAAAGAGAATGTTAAATGATTTTAAAAAAAGTTACATAGGAGTGCCAAAAGCTTTGGTGGAGTTTCAAGACTTTTCGGAGCGATATTATAGAGAGTCAAGCGAGTTCCTAGTGCGTTTCAAGCGAGGTGTCGCAAGGAGACAAAAAATCTTGAATACAATTTTAAGAATGTTACAAAAAGTGTCAAAATGCAAGAGTTTCAAGAAACATCAAGAGAATTTTAATTGTATTTGTCAAGTGGCTACCAGTTTATTTCAAGAGCAAAAGGGATTTTAAGAAAATTGCTTTCAATGGGGTTTCCAGAGAGCTACAAGAGTTCCCAAAGTTAAAAAGAATGTCGGAAGCAGTTTATGAATGTGACAATAGTTTCAAGAACCTCTCAAAGGAGCTTTCAGAGAGTTTTCAGAGTTTCTAGAGGGCTATTAGAGAGATTCAAACTTATTTCTAGCTCATTTCAAGCGGAATTGGAAGATTTTGACAATTTTCGGAGTATTTAAAAAGGCGTTCCAGAAGACCAACAAATTTTAAGAGAGAGCCAATAAATTTTTAGAAAATTAAAAAAATTTCGGCAATTTTTAGAGACTTCCAACACATTTCAACAAGAGAGTTTTGAGAGATTGGCAGCGCAAGTTTAAGACCAACCAAGAAAATTTGGATCAATTCCAGAGGAGTTTTAACAAACTTCCCAAGATATTTCAACACAAAGATTTTGGCAGTTTCAAGATATATCAAGAGTTTCAACTGTGTTCACAGAATGTCTTAAGAGCAAGCAGGTTTAAAGCGAGCTGCAAGCCAATTTCAATGGATCGAGACGATTTCAAGAAAGTTACAAGCGGGTTTCAAAAGATTTTCAAGAAAGTGTTCAGATCTCGGTTTAGATTTTCAAGAATGTTTCAGCATAATATCAAAAGTTTTAAAGAAATCGTCTAAACTCTAGCACAACTTTCAAGGAGAGTTTTAAATCCGTTCAAAAGCTGTGAAACAAATTTCCATAATTTCAAGAAAATATAAAAGAACTTCAAGCGATTACGAAAGTGTTTTTTAATTGAAATTCAAAGGAGTTTTTTTATGTGATTTTCACTAGACCAACATGATTTCAAGATCACAATGTAGCTTCATTGAAGGTTTGCCATACTTGCAAAACAGGTTGAAGGGTTTGAAGACAGTATCAAGCGAGTTGTAAAAGAGATTCAAGAAAGAAATTGTTGTATGGTAACGGCGCCATCGTGGCACAGTGATGCGGGATTGTTGTCGACCTGACGATCACCAATAAAGCTGATTCAACTCTGATTTTATTAGGTGGATATTTGTTTATGCTGTTTGTATTAACTACTAAGTATATAAATTCATTCTAAATGTGTTTGTATAGACAAAAACTCGAAAAAACTTCTTATCTATATATAGAGAAATGGTAAAACTTACTTTTATTCGCCAATTTGCTTGGACAAATGGTAAAATAATTGTCTCAATGTAAGTAAACTAAATTTAGTAGCCATCCGGTTGTGATTCAATTTCGCTGGGAAAGGACACCAAGACGCCGGGTTTTTGTGCGTTGGCAAATACGGAATATTTCCCGTTGGTCACCTGTTTGTTTACTTATACGAAGAATGTGAATTGGTGACCATTAGAAAATATCGACTCGCACAGTCTGCTCCTCTGTGAACATTTGCTATTTACCCTGCTATTGATTTTTTTTAATGCATGGAGTATGATGTATTAATAGAATTTTTTTGTTTCAGGTTTAAAAATGGTAAAATATACACGTACATCGGAGAAGTATGTGTATCAGTAAATCCGTATCGTACCATGAATATCTACGATACCAATTATATTAATCAATATAAAGGTAAGTTTCACAGTATTGGAATGTCATGAAAAGGGCAGTTTTTTTGTGTTTCCGTAATAAGAAAATTCAGTGCAGGTTATCTAAAGTACTAGTTTTTAATTTTACCTTTATCACTGATAAGGAAAGTTAAGTGGGTTGTTATGCAATATAGCTATTTAATAATATAATGGGGCTAAAGTCTGCTAAGGTTACCTTCACTGCTTGTATCTAAAACTTTCTATGATGAAAGCGCAAATGGAAATCTACTTAATACATATATGGAGGGATGATTTGTTGTTTTGCAGACAAAATAAAATTAAAGCACGACCTAATTACCTATTAGTATATGTTAACGAGAGCACTTTCATTACATAATAAACATTACATTATTTAAAAAATGGAAAGTTAACTTAAAATTAGTAGATACTAAAAAATAATTATTCTAGGTAGAGAATTGTTTGAAAATCCGCCTCATATATTTGCAATCGCGGATGCCTCGCATAAGGTCATGAAGCAGCAGGGTCGGGACACGTGCATTGTAATTAGTGGAGAGTCGGGTTCTGGTAAAACGGAAGCATCGAAAATTATAATGAAATATATCGCCGCTGTCACAAATCAAGGTACGTATACACAGTTACCGACGTGCCATGCATTTTACGTTTCCAGGTGGCCGCAAGGAAATAGAACGAGTAAAGAACGTACTTATACAATCGAATTCAATATTGGAAGCGTTCGGAAATGCGAAAACGAATCGCAATGACAATTCGTCCAGGTTCGGCAAATACATGGACATTCACTTTGACTTTAAAGGCGATCCGATCGGTGGCCATATAAATAAGTATTTGTTAGAAAAGTCGCGAGTCATCTACCAACAGCCTGGAGAGCGAAATTTTCATTGCTTTTATCAGGTTTGTTGAGATACATTTCCTTTTCTTGGAATCGTTTGCATTTAATTTAAGAGCATGTGGCATTCAAGTATCTCCAAGAGACTCTTGTATCGCGTCTAATTGCATTTTTGAGTTATTTCAAATTCGAAATCCAAATTCTCATAATCACACAAGAGTAGCTCTAGGGACTACATCGATTACAAGGAAGGAAAAAGAGAGCCAGTGGAAACAAGGAAAAGTACTCACTGTCTTCTTTTCCAATTTGAATTTTACAACTTCATTGTAATAGTTTTTATCTTGTACGACATCGTGGAATTTGATCTCCCTCATAATCGTGACTTTACATTGATAGTTAAGAGATTGTGCCACCATATTTCACAGAAATGAATGTAGTCACTAAGACTGTTATGACAGCCACAGATGTTTCTACTAAAAGCAAACATATCGCATATTGCAAAAATAGATTCCTTATGGGAAGTACTGATGGAAAATGCGCTAAAATTAGGGGCCTTTTTATTTGATTTTAAATTCTTGAATGAAGTACTACTCTACAGTTTGCGTATCCATCAATAGTTTTTGAGATTGAGTTACTTCTAGAGTACATTACAAGTACCTAAATAGAGTGAATTGTAGGTAAAGTGGTAACTCGATTATTTTCCATTGGGGTACTAGTAATTAGGGGGCGATTTCCACAATTTTTTGTTGTAGAAAAAACTCATTTGATGACTTTTCAGCTTTTAACAGGAGCAACTGAAGATATTCTCAAGAAATTATCTCTAAACCGAAACGTGAACAGCTATTACTATATACAACAAGGACAAGCGTCGAAAGTCGACTCGGTAAACGACAAAACCGACTTTAGAGAGATGTCCTCGTCGCTAAGCACACTAGAATTTACGCCCGCCGACATCGACACTCTTTGGCGCGTCGTCGGTGCAATATTACATTTAGGCAATGTAGAGTTTTTGACTGACGGCGATAAACTGAGAATCAAAGATTCGAAGGTGTCCAAAAACGTGGCCTCTTTATTAAAGGTACCTGAAGATGAGTTAAATAAGTCACTGTGTGAGCGAGTTATAGCCGCTCATAAAGATATCATGAGAAAAGAGCACACGGAGGAGGAGGCGTTTTACGGCCGCGACGCTCTCGCCAAAGCGATTTACGATCGACTGTTCACGTGGATCGTCGATAAAATTAATGCCGCCGTGGCGGTCGATACGAACAGTCAAAAGAGTTACAGAAGTTCATTAATCGGCGTTTTGGATATATACGGATTCGAAATTTTCGACAATAACAGCTTCGAACAGTTCTGTATCAATTATTGTAACGAGAAATTGCAGCAATTGTTTATAGGTGCGTATGCCGTGCGGTTGACGTATGTTGTGGCATTATTGGTTTTAGAGCTCGTATTAAAGCAGGAACAGGAAGAGTATCGCAAGGAAGGGATCGAGTGGCAGGATATCGATTATTTTAATAATCAAATCATTTGTGAGCTAGTGGAAGCTCCGCATAAAGGTACGGATTTGTTTGTTTACTCTCAAAGATTACTGATTTGTATTTCAGGAGTTCTGGCGATTTTGGACGAGGCCTGTTTAAATGTAGGTAAAGTTACTGACGAATTATTACTCGATGCGATGGATAAGAAGTTGAAGGATCATAAACATTATACTTCGAGGCAGTTGAAACCAATGGAGAAGAGTTTGAAGCACAAGGTATGTTTTTAGAGGCCGTTTTCAAAAATGTTGAGAAAACAGACCTTCTCAATGTTTGCTTTAAGAGCCATCAGGATCACGTGATTTCGTTCCCTTTGCGCCTCCATTCTGAATATACCACCACAGATTAATACATTGTGTTTATTTCCGCGTATATTCCTTTATATTGGCGTAAGTTTGCATTGTATGAAGTTTGACAACATCGTAACTCATTCTCAAATTCAAAAAATTATTGAATCGCCACTCATTTATTGTACATAGATTCTAAACTGAAGAGCTTTGATTAGCGTAATCCCGCTCCTGCAAGATAGGTAACCCGCCCCTGGTTTCGGGGTTTCGAGCCTACAGGAATTAGGTGTCGTAATTTTTACTACAGTTTTTACCACCCTCGTGATTGCTTCATTCACGGAGAAAATTGTAATCAACATCAATAAACATAAATTAAGCAAGCATTACACCAAAAACGTAAACAATTACAAACAATAGCATAACGGTGTCACATATGTGATTATGCATTGCGGTTAAACCAAGTAACTTTCAAAAACAAAGATTCAAACACAACAAATATAAAATGTGGCATACAAGACACAAATGCGATATAAAGAAATGCAAAGATTACTACTTGCATTAAAAAAACACAGAATAACAACAAACATTTATGGAGCGACGCGTTCACGATCGCCATTCAAGACAAGATGCCAAACGTTAGATGAACTACCGTCAATTGTGACCCCAATTATTGTTTATGTTCTACCCCTTCAATTATTTTACTCCTTTTACTTATCAAGACCAGAACAAGGATCTCTCAGTCTGCCTTGTTCCCTCTTTCAGTAAGTATTCTCTCTTCTCTTTTTGAATTTACTATATGACTTAATGGCGCCTATCCAGTTTACGATATTTCCCTTTTGCTTTGTTTTCGCTAGTGTACGAGAACCCCGTTATTTACCCCGACCCACGTCTACTTTGCCTGAACTTGCCGAGTGCTTATCTAAAGTTAATTCTGTTGCGCGAACGTAACAAACTAATAAACAAAGTTAGATGAAAGAAAACAAAGAAAAACAACCCTTTTTATCATCAACGGAAGAAATAAATATCAAACGCTTACGTTAAACATTAAACGACGGGGTGAAATGCAGAAGGTACACGGTGAAAATACGAAAATTGATACAGAAAAATCTACATACGGCACAGATAGAAAATAAATTTCCCGAAAAGAGTAAAGATATGGAACTTCAAAAAAACAGCTCTTTACTTTCGACCACAAACTTCAACGATCTCTCTATTTCAATTGTCCTTCCACCACATTCGCGCTCCTCTGCAACTTAGCGCACGCTTCCCGAGAATGCTCGACCTTTCCCGACGCCTCAATTTACTAACATATAGAATTTCCTACAAAAAAAAGGGAAAGGAACAGCGGTTTTCCAGCCGGGCGGCGTACTCGGGTGACAATCTTCAAAAATTAAAACTTCTTTCGTTAATTACTCGGTTCTTCGTTATATAAATCTGGGGCCAATCTCAAACACCTTGGTAAATTAGCGCGCTTCCAATCTTACTAAACATAACCTAATCAGGAGAAGTTTGCTGGAGTACATCTGGTTAGCTACCGGTATTTATGTTCACTTCATACTTTTAAAGACACATTTCGCATTATTAAAATAAGTCGCGTTATCCGTTACGTACAACTCCCCCTCCTCCCTCCATTACTTTTATTATGAAACCATCTTCTTTTCATTTTCTTTTTTTACATTTATTTTTACTGTCTTCTAAATGATTGTCTCTTGCACTTCCTTCTTCTATTCCGTGTCACTCTCTGTTGCGTGGATTTAATATCTCTCCACCTGATCCACTTTCTTCACCCCCCCCCCCCTTCCGGTGTCCACGTGTTCCTCCTTTGATTTTAGTAGTTTTTCCATTCAGCTCATCAATTATTCTATCAATATCCCCTACTTTGGGTTCTTTTAGTGCCTTTATGATCGCTGCGAACCCTTCTTCTGAGATCGTCATCTATCCGAGTCGCACAATGAATTCGAATAAACACACAATTAATTGATTGACAACGACAAACATTTATTCTGAAACACATGTAAGAATGAAAACAAAATCCCTGAGAGAAAGAAAAGCTTACAACGCTTGTTTGGACATAGTACTCCGCACGCAGGCAGTCAACAAAACCGGCGTGATGAATAAGATGGCTGTTGGAACGGTAGAAACTTTTAATAAGAAGCGAACCTTAACAAAAGGTCTCGTATTACAACTGCTTGCAAAACTTTTTCCATCAGACAACACGCGTTAAACTTGGCCAACTTATTTTTGCTCCCTTGCGGTACTGACAAATTACGTTTTGACATAAACAGACTGGCTGGCCGTAAAAATTCGCGGGTACGGTCTTCATCCGTCGCGAAACCAGTAGCAGCCACGTTTCTACGTTGACTCCAGTATTTAAGGGAACACCCCTTCCACTATAAAATAAATCTGCTTTCATGAATTTTTCAAATAAATCACTAATCGCAACGAAACGCGCCAAACGTCCTCACTTCCGGTGACATGCAACGCACAACTCTGCATCCTTGTTATCAGTTCCAGACTCGAAGTACAAGTTCGATGCATCCGAAAGAAAAACGAAAGAGTTCATAAAACAAGAATTCTGTAACTGATATTGTGAACTGAAAACGTTTTAAAAAAAAGTTACTACCCTAGATCGTGGTCCATTTAATTATAACAAGAAATCTTCCCAAATGTTTTTTGTTGATCGCTAGGATCGAAATGTGCTGAGTTGGAGTTTAGTTCAAAATCTCTTAAAGCTCCGAGATTTAAAAATAAAGAATTCCAGTTGTAATTTAAAGTTTCTAAGATCTTCCCAAAATTTGTTTGTAAACGGGGCGTAGGGTAGTTCAGGACGGTAAGCCGTTAATGTTCGATGGTGCAAAACAATAAAAATGTAGCGTACATAGTTATTGTTTACCCGTGAAAAATGCGCAAGGCAGTTTATCGAACTATCAATCAATTTAGTGAAAATTTCGCCGCAGGCCGTACTGCAAGGTAATTTCTTTTCATTCCTCACTGATTAACTGAGTGGAATACTTAATAATTGGCTTGTATCTTTTATAATTCCCAAAACTTGCGTGTGAATTAATTGCCTTTAAATCAGTGCTTTTCCAATCACTTAATTAAAATTAAGACTGTCGCAATTATGCGGTGCAGACAGAGCATACCCAACAATCTGGTTGCTGACAAAAAATTTAAAAAAGATTTTGGACCCAGTATATTTAGGACAAAATTTTGGTTTATTCTCAACCACCCAATATTTTTTGACACACATAATTGTTGCCCCTTCCCGCCGTCAAATCAGAATCTTGTCTTTACAAAAACAGTTATATGCATCCAATCAACAGCAATATTGGATCTAACAGGCACTGATGGCTCTTAACAAAGGATGGACAAAATTCGCCCACGTTTCCCTAAAAATGATCTTATATTTAGATTAATTTCCGGGTTACCCACTACGCGGGCGACGTCGTATACAGCATTATCGGATTCATGGACAAAAACAAAGACTCTTTGTTCCAAGATTTCAAACGTCTACTATACCATTCTTCCGATCCGGTCGTGAAAGCGATGTGGCCCGAAGGAGCTCAACATATATCAGAGGTATACGACGTTTTAAATTGCTTGCAGGCGATAATTTTGATTTTGTAGACCACGAAAAGGCCTCTTACTGCCGGTACGCTATTTAAGAATTCCATGAGCGCCTTAGTACAAAACTTGGCCAGTAAAGAGCCGCACTACGTTCGGTGCATTAAACCGAACGAAATTAAATCCCCGACAGTTTTCGACGAGGAACGGGTACGGCATCAAGTGAATTATTTGGGGTTGGTGGAGAACGTTCGCGTGCGCCGAGCGGGTTTTGTGTACCGACAGCGATACGATCTCTTCCTTAAGAGGTTAGTGTTTGTATTATTAACCGACTTGTGACATTTCATTTGCAGGTATAAGATGATATCGCAGTTTACGTGGCCCAACTTTCGGTCGGGCAGCCCGAAGGACGGCACCAAAGTGATTATGGACGAGCACGGTTTTGGCAACGATGTTAAGTATGGGTACACGAAAATATTTATTCGGTCACCTAAAACGCTCTTTGCGTTGGAAAATGCGCGGAATGAGCTCATTCCCGGTATCGTAACTCTTATTCAGAAAGTTTGGCGAGGTGAGAGTTACAAAATTTTCTCAGTTGATCAAATATATCAGTTATTAAAGTGAAGGGATATGCATCATTGTTTCCATTTATATTTCAGGTTACCAAGCGAGACAGTTGTACAAGAAAATGAAAGCACTAATAGTCATGGTGAACGCGTACAGGAATATGAAATTACGAAAGTACATAAACACGTTGCAAGGCAAGTTTTCGGGGGCGCGTAACATGCGTGACTACGGCAAGAGTATACAGTGGCCTGCGCCCCCTCGCACTTTACGCAGTATCGTCGGCATACTGCGGGGGGCATTTAACCGCTGGCGCGCCTACATGATTTTAAGCAAGATACCGAAGAAGGAGTGGCCTCAGTTGAAGCTTAAAATCAGCGCGGCGTGCGTGCTCAATAACAAGCGCCTGTACTGGGGCCAGAGTCGCGAGTGGCTCGGCAACTACTTGGCGCTGCACAACGAAAATCACAACTACACAACGTTCAACCAGAGCGTGAACAACTTAAAAAATAGCCAGCACTTCGCGAACGTTTTGTTCTCGTCATTTGTGACGAAGTTTAATAAGTTTAACAAGTGCGCCGAAAGGGCGATGCTCGTGACTGACCAGCACGTCTTCAAATTAGACAATGTGAAATTTAGAAACATGAAGGACGGCGTCGCGATCAATTCATTAACCGGATTGAGCGTCACGCCCGGTCAGGATCAGCTCATTGTTCTGCATTCACCTGGTGGGAATGATTTGGTTATTTCATTGCATACGTCGGCCAAAGAAGATCGGCTTGGGGAACTGGTTGGGGTTTTGTGCAATCAATATGCAAGGTGAGCTCTTTTTTTAAAAATATTCTAGCAATATTCCCAGATTATGATATTCGATGCTCGTCGGCTGGGATTGTTTCTTTGTGGCTTTGAATACTGCATATCTCGATTTTTGCTATTGTTTGCTTTAATTTCAATTTTTTTGGGATCTGACCTTGGAACTCAAGCAATTGTGTTTTCAAACAGGAATGACCCTAAATGCGAACAGTTTTCTTTTTCGCTTCCATTATATATAATTTTCTCCTTACATTACAGATTGAAAAATTCAGACTTACCTGTCACAGTCAATAAAGGTTTCACCTGTTCGCTCGGAGGCAAGAAGCGCCACATAAACATACAGGTTACCGAGGAAGTTCAGGAACCTTCGTTTAAAAAGGACGGGAACAACGTTGCGTACTTGCTACCCTCAAATTACGCCCTCCTTGAGAACGGTAGCAGTAAAAATTAGCGAACGTAGTTGTCTTGTAGTGCTTCCAATTTTGTTTTGTTTACAGTATTTTATTTAACCTTCCCTGTTAGTGAGTGTAATTTTACCACATTGTCCTTACAACCACCTTAATCCTTTTGTTAATGGTGAGTTACACTATTGCACCATTATTAAAAACAAAATCAATGTGTTTGATACGTATCTTCGGCATCCAGGTAGCATTTAGTCTAATTGTGATAGTTAAAAATGTTGAAATTGTGTCTTGTTGAGTGCCTTCATCATTGCATAAAATGTAATGCCTTCGAGAAATATTTATATTAGTATTAATTTGCATGGCATGTAGTTTAATCTGTTACATAACAAAGTTCACTTTTATTAAGCCTTTATTAATGCAATTTTTAATCATTTGAAATTCGTTGCAGTGGTACTTAATGTGATCTCTAAAATGAAAAAAGTATTCTTTTTTGCCTGTAAATATTTTTGTATTGTTTATATTATTAGACTAGTTTTAATAAGATTGTCCCACAATATTCATTGGTGCTAATTGTTTTTTGCTACTGCCATATTTAATTCCGCGGTTGCAATTTATGCCAATTGCATTAGGAAATTAGTATTCAGTTCTAGCTTGGCTAAGACTGCATTTATGGCGCGAATTTATTACCAGGATTTTTAATCCTTAAGCAAAAGGTTGTACTTATATGTTAAGAGATATTTATACGTATGTTTCGAAACATTTCTTTGTAAGATTTTAGTGCCATTGTTTATTTTTGTATACATAAATAAATGTTTTAAGCCTTTTTCTTACCATAGGTAGATGCTAGGTTCGATGTCAACGATGACTATGGTATAGAAATTTCACTATTTTTGTGCTTGTTTCAAGTATCTTTTTTAGCTCATTTCTACAAAAATCAAAAATGCACTATTGTGGCCATTTTGTCCGTCCCTGCGGCAATGTGGCTATCAAATCTTGATCTTAAGTGTCCCCTACTTTTGTCAGGGCTAGCACCAAGGAAGGAATTTTTTCAGTACCACTTACCAAAAAAGTGTTTGCAAAAAAAATCCATTTTTTCACTCTTACAATTATAAACTTTTGCCGTTTATTGTACTCATAAATGTTATATTATATCGGTCGATGGAGAGAAAGCTTAGACCATATAGTACATGGACTGCTATTAGCCCTATGCTTTCAGTACAAAATGGGTGGTAACGGATAGAGGGCACATAGTCATGGGTAAACTAAAGTCGTATGAACACCAATCGGATCGCGTAAAGAGTAGCTTTTATGGTAACCGCGTAGTACGGGAAGCTTTAAATACCCTTGATTATCTTCTATACGTCCACAAATAAGAACAGGTTTGCTTTTTTTTGCCATATCTAGGCGATTAATTAATTGACATTTGTTACAGTTGACAGTCTCAAATCGCGTCTCATTGGACAATTTCGGACAGACTCGTTTACCCTGAAACGCACATACCCAGGCGATGTCCTTGACCATCATTTAGTTACAGTTAGCAGTCCATGTACTATGTATATGGTCTAAGAGAGAAAGTGTTGGAACTGTCATAAAAATTGACAGTTTGCTCGAAAGGATGAGACTTCAATGGAAAAAATTGTTTTACCTGTGGTACTTCGAATGTGACTCGTTAAGTCTGTCCGAAATGTGCTAGAAAATCGGGAAACTTGTAGGTTGATTCATTTATGTGTTGTGTAACCGGCTGGTTACTTTCCAACTCTCTTTACCGTCTCTTCTTAAAATCCTTTATTTGGGGGTGGTTCTTCCTATAAACATTAAGGGTTGTTGGGCGCCGGCTAGCTTCAGTCGATAATTCTTCTGGCCTCAAGGAGAGGGGAAAGGATAACTGAATAAAAATCAATAATCTTTATTAAAACCTGTTGGGTTCTTTTTGTCTTAGAAATCGCCTTTTATCTGTAAGTAACACATATTAAAAGAAATGGGGGTGAGGCGGTACATCCTGTGAAAATAGAGTTAACTCATTCATACACAAAAAGTCACTGCATATAAAGGAAAATATGTATTTATTATGTGAATTAAATCAAGGTATTTACTCTCAAAACCGCCGAGTACAGAAAGAAAATTAATTCGTATTTCATAAATTCTTATCCACTTTGATCGAAAGTCACCACAAAACTGCTGTAAATGCGTGTAGTAACGCTTTTAGGTTCGAGTCGTTTAAATGAATGCAAATAGTGCTGATAAGCACTAAATTGAACGCAACATTAGTAGGTAATTTAAATCGCCTTTACAAACATACCAATTTATAATAGTTTTGTAATAATAAAAATACAACGAAATAATGAATCTACAACGGGGCGAACTACAACGAATTAATAAATCTACAACGAGGCGAACTACAACGAATTATCGTCTACAAATACCTCGAGTTCATAAGTGCACCAGGACTTGGAGGTCGCTTGTCGCACGATCGATGTGGAAGTCGAATGAATTCGGACCGCCCACTGCAGGTTGCTGTTCGCTTTTGAGCTGGACCAATCACAGGCAGGCTGGTGTATCTCGATCTCAGTTTGGTACTCCCCAGCTGGATTGCGCACGTACCGACAACGGAATCCTTGTCTTCTGTAATTTTGTAAATTTCCAATTTTCTTCGGCGCGCTGGGAAGAAACGTTTTCGTCTCCTATGCGCGGAACGCTTTAATTTGCGACATAGATGTTGCTCCGTAAAACGACGACGGGCAACTCTTCCCTGATGCTTGAAATCCCCGTATTTATACTTTCTCACTTAGTATCCACTGACCTCAATTCGCTTTATCGCGCAAACTCGCACATGTATAAATGTTTACTTACTCCACGGAAACAGTTTAACCCCTTCTCGTATAGAAAAAGTTAGCGTTGGTTAACGGTATTCGAGTGCGAATCCGAGATTGGTTTGAGTTATTGCGGGTCTAGCGTTTATTTTGTCCGTTTTGGTTTGAAAATGTGTATTTACAGGTACTTTACAGTCGCCATTTTATTATTTCTTGTACAAACTGAATCGTTGAATTTCATGTCGCAATTTGTTATTATTTTCTTTTTGCATATAAAATAGTGATATCGAACCGTGGCATAAGTTTACTTCTTTGCTCTTGGAGACAAGAAGGTGAGCTTTGTGTGTTTTCATTTTGTTTAGTTGTTTGTCTTACCGGCCGCCGATAACGCAAGCACCTAATTTTGGTAGTGAACTGATCCTTTTTGCAACCGTTCCTGTAGGAATATTTAAATTATTTTACAGCCGCCGAAAGCTCTCTTGCCAGGGAAGAAGAGAGAATCAATCAGTCGTATTAAGTTTTAGTCGATTTTAGTTTTTTAATGGTGTACGAAAATCTAGGATTGAAATTTTTCCGATGTCGGGGGGTGTAATTACTTAAAAACAGTTTTAATTTGTTTGAACGTGTCGAAGGTATAAGCATACGAGACGGGAATTCTAGTTTTTTCCCTACTCAAATGAATGTTTAGATAAATAGAAAACTCACTATGAAGTACTATCTTTTTACCTTTGCATTTTCGCAGTTATATTTTGAAGTACCGAAATTTTGAGATTTGCAGAAAATTTACTTTTGCGCAACCTTATCGTATTTAAATCATCAGCTTTTACTTTTAGTGTTTTAACCGTTAATTAATTTTTTTTGCCTTTTGCATTAAGTTACCTCACAATATTCGGATTATCGGATTTATGGCTCAGTGGTAAGAGCATTGGGTTATAAATCCGAAGGTCGGGTGTTCGAACCTGGGTTGAGGTGAATTTTTCATCTGTGGCGGAGATGGAAATTACCTTAGGCCAGTTCCGAGCATTCTACCGGCTACTCCGAATTAGGTTTTCCTGCAGTTTTCCTAATTCGTAAGGTAAATACCGGAGTAGTATAGACCATCTTAAGACCTTCTGCAGAGGCACCTCTAAATAGCATTATGCGGGTCACTCTGTAATTGGGCGCATGCCTGTTGAGGGCCCAAAACAAGAGAGGGATAATAATAATAATAATAATATTCATTGGAATTAACTTTTAGAGATTTTTTTGCTACCGCTCCGTTAATTTCAAGATAAGCTTTTTGTTACTTTGGTGTTTTTGTTGCTTTCATTCCCGTTTCTCCGGTTGAGGCTTCCGAGACCGACCCGCAAGACCGCTGCTACCGCCCATATCGACCAAACGCGAGGCCGGTCGCTTGAGTTCGTTGAAGTACCGTTACTGAATCATTCTTGTTTGTTACACTGTCTATCAGGTGGTGATACCTTACATTGTTTTATTATGTATTTATTTATATATTCACAAGGAAGTTTATCATAGTAATGTCTCTCTGTATGATTCGATTAAATTATTCCGTGACGGAAATACCTATATAAGTAATACAGTTCGATCTTTCGCCATATTTGTTACTTTCTTTCTCGTGTAAGACCGCAGCTCTTTTGTGTCTTAGCAATTTAGAAATACAAGAAAGAGGATCTTTTAATTAAACTTTCTTCTAGGTACTTATTACCTAATGTGATTTTGCTGTTTTGCTTGTGCAATAATAGGTAAACTTTAACATGAATACTCAGACTCACACTACTGGCATTCCCCGACATGGTACCTTTCGTGTAAAATTAAGATAGCCGAGGCCGGAGTAGACCCTTTCTGATGTTTATCATGCAATTTATCATTTTACGAGTTGTGTTTATTAAAATTGAGCCGTAGATGCATTTTGAATGATCGTGTTTTCCATTTGTATTTATGATGTCTTTTGTGCCTCATTCTTGTTGATTTACTGCATTTGATGACTCGATACCTGATTTTTTTTGTGCGATTTCAGATGTTTGATTTGTATAATTTTCTCTTTTGCATTTTATTGTTCTTGTAGTTGATGTATTGCGTGTACGTTGTAGGATATGCCAGGTGTTTTGTTCATAAAAAGTGTTTCTGGTATCGCCGTTGTTGTGTGCGTAATATATTCATTGAATTTATAACTATAGTTATAAATTCAATGATATATTTTATTTGTTCCAGTCTTTCTTACGCATTGTATTCTGCATTGTATGTGTAATAATGAGCAATAAACGCCCGTCGCTTAAAAATACACAATACTGCAAAAGATTGAAAATGTACACATTGCAATTTTACAACAAATCGTTACCATATATTTTGTTTTGAAGGGACTCTGAAGACAAGTCTTCGAAGATTTTTAAAATGTGCGCCGTGTGATTATACACCGAACTACTCTACTCGGCGCGAGATGATCACGTACTCCCACTATTCATATCATATTCTATTAATTGCACCTATACATATTAGTTGACTTTTCCTACAGACAGATCTCCGCACATAGCCCGCGCATAGGCATGTGTTAACTCACAATATTTTCAAATATGCACAGTGTGATTTCGCAACATATCACGACCATGTCCAGTGGCGGATTTACATATAGGCACACTAGGCACGTGCCTAGGGGCGGCAGCTTTAGAGGGGGCATTTTTTGCACTACATTTATTTTAGGTAACATTTTAAGTTTTAAAATACGCCCCCTAAGAAGTTACAAATGACAAAAATCTTTAATTAAAATTAATTCGAATTGGGAGATTTTTTAAACAAACTGTAACTGCAAGAACGATAATCGACAATGCAAGTTTTGACGTGTGAAAAACTTAATCTTAGGTGTACTGTATTGCTTTTCATATTAGTTTAAAAAATTTCAAGTTATAAAATTTGATTCCTATTAGCATCTTAAAATTGATTGCAATTTAAAGATTATTTTGGGGCGCATATCTTTCGGTGTGCCTAGGGGCGCAAAAAATTTAAATCCGCCACTGACCATGTCCTGAAACGTCTTAACTCACAAAACCTAAAAGGATTTAAAATCGTACACTGTAATGGCAGTATATGGAAGTGTTAGGTAATGTCAATGTAGCCAGAGATACATTATGGAGTACTTACTTTATCGGTTAACATTAACTGTTTGAATTAAAAGAGAGTTAAAGCGTTTGGTATGTTGGTTGCTTAGGTCGACTACTGTAGTACCGAGAGCCGAATCCAAAGAACCATAAATAATTCCCTTCGACATTAAACCTACATAAAAATAAATCAATAGAAATACAACATGAAAATTTAATATAACATCATCGAAAATAGTACAAAAAATATTATACACATTAAACGTTAAATATCAAATACTTTTTGAACACAGATCGTGAGGATCTGTCTTTTAGTCATTTTTTAATAGGAATTTTATTCTTTAAGTCTTTACCTTACTACAAACATAAAACTTCCCAACATTGATACAATAATACAGAGAGTTTTAACAGTTAGGTCTAGGAGGGGACAATGTCATTTCATAACACATCATAAAGCTACCTTTATTGTATTTTAATGATGATATGTTCTTGATCCTTATCGGCTGTTGGCTAACAATTTGCATGACACAATAACTTACAAAATAAAATGAATGATTTTAACACTAAGGACACAGCCCAAATTTTGATTTACATATAAAACGCCTTACCTAGTCTGCAATTAAAGGAATGCGTAAGCGCACTGTGAAAATTCTCGTCTCGTTCTAAAGGCTATGGCCGAGAGTGTATTATTGAAAAGACTGTATACAACTAACAGATCAGTTGGCAACAAAAAATAAATTAATGATTGAAACTAATAGCTAGAATAAGTTTAGTGATACGAAACACTGGCTTGGAGGGAAAAGGTCTTTAAGTATCTCCGCATAAATATCATCTACCTTTGTCGTATACCGTACATAAATACGATTGGTAGTTATTACTCCAGTCACTTCTACTAGAAATAGAAAACGGTGATAATTTAAAAAGCAAATGTGAAATTTTGGTCCAACTAAGCTTTTAGAAACAAAAATCGTGCAACCAGTAACCCCAAACATCCGGCTAGCGCCTAAAAATACTTAGATATCTAAATTCAGTCTTCCAGTTGAACACATAATTAAAGTAAAGCACGAATATAGGTAGTTGAGCATAGATGGCTTTAATTTAGTAATTGGTAGAAAAATAAATGTAAAACAAAGTACAAGTTCCGTTGCACTTAGCTGCTTTAAAACTTTTCAATTTGACGCTTCTCGGTGTATAATTTGAACGCGTCTTCGAAAACGGTTAGCTTTCCCGCGCTCTGAAACTCCAAAAATATGCCGAAGCCTATCGGGCGCTGGTTGCTCGCGATTTGTTTCTTGGTAACGTAAGCGTAAAACTCGAGTAGTTTTTTGGGACAGCCCTCGGCCTCCAGTATGTTCATTTCGCGAACGTACTGCTCGGGCGTTAGGGGCTGATCGCTCGCTTGCAATTTCGGCAGGATCTTCGCCAGTATGGCTTGGTCCTTCGATTGCGATATCAGCGAAAACGTCTGCGGGGGCGGTTCGGGGTTATTGTTCACGCTTCCGATCGAGGTGGTGCTTGAACTGTTGCTGTTCGTGTGGTGGTGTTCGGAGAACGGGTTTTCTAACGTGCTAAGACTAGAGTGTTGAGAGGAGACGGATGGACGGCGCTTTTCAATGTTTTGCGAGTAGGCGCCGTACTGCTGCGCTCCGTCGACCGTTGTCGCCGCTTTCGTTTGCGGAGAATAGTAACCGTAATCTGGCGACGCGTTGTCGTTGAACACCGCTTCTCTCAACCGGCCCTTGCCCAAGAAACTTTCCGGCTTTTTCGAGTTGATCTCCGCAAATTGATGGGGTTGTTGTGGCTGCTTTTGGTTGGGCGCGGGCGGCGGTTTCGTTGGATTATAGTTTGCGAACGGTTTCGATGGAGGACCTCCTCTTCTAAAGTATCCATAATTTGGAGATGCGTACGAAAACTGCCCATTCACCTTATTTGCTGCCTGATTTTTGGGAGGAATCACAGCGGCACTTGGTGCGAGAACGTTTCCATTTACAACACTCCCGTAAGTTCCATAGTAACGTTCGGCTCTCGGCATGTTCGCGCCATACGGATTTGCCGAAGGCTGTGTCGGGTGCAGGTAAGGGTTGCCGCCGTTGTAATTAATCGGTTTATTTAAATTCACATTTGTTTGAGGCCGCTCATTCGAGTTGGCGTAGTACTGAGGAAGTGCAACTCGGCGTCTTCTTAGTTCGTCATGCCAAGCTTGGTATGCAGTTCGATTGGTATACTCTTGAAGCGCCTGCATTGATTGCGGATTTGTGTAAGTAAACGTATTCGTAGCAGTCGTGGATTTTGGTGTGACCGGCGCAGAATGCGAGTACTGAGTTTGGTTCTGGTTACCTCCCCTTAGGTACTCGCAAACGAAAGTTTTCATTAGACTCGTCGACAAATTGGAAGAGGGATCCGAGTCTTGAGGGTTGTTCACTGGATTTCTATTTGTTTGATAGGTCGGTCGAGGAAGTTCGATATTACCAGACACGTTGTGGTATGTTGTGTCTTTGTAAGGTAAGTTTGGATGGGGCTTTGGTGTTGTAGTGGACGGATGATAACTAGCTCGACGGGCTATTATTGGTCGTGCTGGCGGGAGGCTAGTAATTACGCTTTCTTTCTTAACATTTATATCGACGTTGCTTGTCTTACTTTTAAGCACAGTCTGAGGCGACTCCAAAGCTCTACAAGGTGACGGGTTCCGTGTTATAGCAGCTTCAACGTTTGATCTATCTACTGGACTGATACTTATCGGATCTTTGTTGTTATTAACTTCTGTTACTCGATGTGCCTCTTCGACGCAATTTGGCTTACCACGCAGCGAGAGATCGATTCCACAAGTTTCTCCGTGCGCCGCAATCTTCGGCGGTGTATTGGCGGCATGCGCCTCTTGAGTATTCGGCGACACTAAACTTACGACGACGTCGTTTGCGGCAGATGGCGAATTGGCGACGCTTTGGTTTTTGGGCACTTGGCTACTTTCCTTTCCAACATCGCCAGTTTTTGATAAATCCAAGCACTGTTGAACTGTTTCGTCCTTTCCGCCGTTCGAATTTTCCGAATCGGACGACACAATTTCGATAACGTTCTCCTGCTTTACGATCACGGGAGGACTTTCGTCGATGTCGGCAGAGCTAAGCTCAAAATTCTGACGGACACCTTTCAGTAGCTTATGTAGCATGTCTTTGTCGTGTTTCTCCATGTTACCGCCGGATTTGTCGATTATTTCGTTGACAACAAACGTCAGCGTATTCAGCGTGTGCGCAATTCGTTTTTTCTCAGATGAAGAAGTATTGCGAACCCTCACCGCGGGTTTATGATCTACTGCAGAGTTCCCTTTTGTTAGATTTAGTGCGCTACTATTTCTTTCCTCCTCTAACTCCGCTTCGTTATCGGTTTCTGTTTCGGAATCCGATATTACGTAAAGCGGCGAATTTGGTGCGGGTTCCACTTTGCTCAGTTGATGTGATGTCGGTTTTGGAGACGATGTTCGCACTGGAGCGGCGGGTTTAATCAATTCCTTGCGAAGTATCTCCATTTCCAATTTGGAGCCACTTTCCTTTTTACCGACGTTCAGTTTGGGAATATCGGCGTTTGGAGGCAATTTGGTCACCGAGAGACATTCGTTATTTATAATTTTCGTTAAGGTTTGCGCATTTAAGTCTTCATCCTCGTGCGATTCTTCCGCGAGTTTCACACTAGCAGCCCTCACGACTGGAATGGTTAGGATTGCGGTTTCCTTGGTTTTCGGAACGTTCGAAGTTACGGTGGGCGAAATCGTTGCGGGTGAGGCTTGCGCATGACTCGGTTCCTGTTTCGAGTAACGTAGTAGAGATTTGACGTAATCGTAGTTATAAAAATTCGATTGCGGAAAGTTGGGATTCCTAACTAGGTGAGTATTGTAGGATTCGTATGGTGTCAGGGCGCGCGGTGCGAAGTGAGGTGGGCGGAGGTATCGGTTATATTCTGCGAACGTGGGGAGGAAATTATACAAGGGGGGATTGGCGAATGGAAAATTGTACGATGTGGGGCGCTCTTCTTTAGATTGTTTGGCGAAGGGTATATTATCTCGTTCAGGGGACAGCTTTCGCTTCAAATTTTTAGATGAAGGTGACGCATTTAAAATAGGACTTACTTTGTCAGGGATACGCTCTTCAGTGACGTCTAAACGAGGCATGCTTTGTAACGGTGAGACGATCGTTTTAACGTTTCGAGGCGACGAAATCTTTTCGTGCTTCGAATCATTTTTGAGCGAGGTTTTTTGCAGAGGCAAGTGGTTTTCTTTGACTTTCAGTGGATCTGTGATTCCACTACAACGTTTCCCTAACCCAGCAGGCAGTTCTTCGTTCGTTATGTCCGGAATTTTGGTAACTACTTGCGGTGGGCGATCTTCATCAGACGACGTACTCTTGGCGCTCTCCACAGATTGATAGGGCCTGTGTAAAATTTTTCCATTATACTCTATCGAAGTAGAAGAATTACTCTCGACCATATTTTCGACGGAAAAATTAACCTCAGCTCGACTAGAAGTCGGGCGTAGGGGTTGTGCGATGCTGGATCGCCTTTCAGGTATTCTGATTGGTAAATTATGTTTGCCAGATTCGGGTTTGTTTGTTTTTATGTCGGTTAACTCTATCGATGACTTTGAAGAGTCGTCAAATATTCGTAATTCAGGAATCGCTTTAGGTTCGGTTACTGTTTCACACTTATTTGAAGCTTCCTCGTGGACCGCTTTGGTTAACCATGGAGTACTTTCGGATTCTAATAGCTTAGCATCCTCTAGTTTTTCCTCGGCCAGTTTGTCACTATTTTCCTTTGCAGATGATTGTAACAAGTTACTCACGTCTTTTTCAGTCGCAAGGAAAGATTCAGTTGCTTCTTTTGATGGACCATCACCCGTGGGGCACTTAATAAATAATTTCTGTATTTCATGTTTCGTCTTGGCGATGCTTTTCTCAGGGCCTGAAACAGAAAAAAAGGCATTAATTTCTGACAGTTATTCGATGTAACAAATGAGATTTTACAACGGTAGATTAACTTGATATAATTTAACAGCTTGTACTTCGGCGATTTGTCAATATGTCAAGGATGTCAGAACATTCCCCTCACCACCAGTAGATATATATTTGAAACACAGTATGCATTTGATTCAGTCGTTGTTCCAAACACAGTGAAGGCAAGTTGCCTCCATACATATTTGACAAAAGCGCACACAAGATTTCACTGAGTTTCATTGTGCTGCGCCGCCTCACCTCGCGCATTTGGGTACTTCATCTCGCATAACCACTAGTTTTCAAAAATAAAGAAGTCTGACCTTTGGTTGTTCATCAACTAAGGAGACAAAGACTATCGGTTATGTCTTAAGCACAATTTACTTTACAATAAAAATATTTCCTAAACACATCATTATATAAACTTTGGGGACGACAAAAGGTGCCCAAATAACAATACCTGTATCCTTGTGTCATGTATTGGAACGCGTTATATTCTGAGTAGATTATAATTGCAGTTTAAATAGTAGTTACACAGACCACCAGATAAGTTACCAGATGCCACCGAAAGATAGTGTACGTAATGAGAGTGTATTATTACAATTAAGTTTGACATTCGACACACCTGTATAATTTTACTGATACCATCAAATGTGTTTTAAATATATAAATCCGGGCGAATTATCCTGGTTACAACAATTCGCCATATACCTACGCGGTATCCTTATTTCTTCACCAATACCTTGGTATAAAAATGATTTCATTAGGGAGGAATGTTGCCTGACAAATTAAATGATTCATTTCTCAGAGGTGTTATTATTTTCAACTAAACATTTGACTATTCACAGGGAGCAAATATAACAATTATCCTGTTGGTCATCCTGAACTTAAGGTTGGAATAGATTGCGAATTTGAAGTACCAATCGTCACGTATTGCCTACAGAAGGTACATTCTATCATTCCAGTTTGTAAATTATGTATAACGCAAATTGAATTTCGGAAAGGTAGGTTTTAATTTAAACAGCAGCAACATATATGTTCATGTACATCCTTATCGTATTTCTTACGCTTACGTTAATGATGAGTCAAGTCTTCGTGAGTCAAACAATGCGTACACAAATAAACTTAATCCACATACAAATCATCTACGTGATACTGTCTTGGAGATAACGCAATCAATGCAAGTTTTATAAATAAAACAATTGTGTGTTTATTAATGACGTGATTTCTATTGGTAATGCTTATTTTGATATTCGGTATAAATGCGTTTTAAATTAATTTAAACCGTTTTTTTAATTATATACGCTGTACCCAAATGGGTGGCTTACTATATCTGCAAAGGTAAACACACAATGTATTGAAATCAAGTGCTATTTTAACTATAACTTTAGGCCTACCTATGAACGAGTCACCTTCTTCTATCATTTCAAATACGACTAAGCTTCTTAAATCTGATGAAAAAACTCGATTGGTGCACGGATTAATTCAGATTCCACCTTCCTTCTTTTAAAGGAATAAAAAATACGGAACTCTTACCGATATGCTCAACAACAAACTATGACACTACACTTCAGGTATACTACACGTACTGAAGCGTAACCCCATTCCGTCAAGTGATGAACCGGTCAATGGAATGGGAATACCTTCTGTTGAAAAGTGTTCTGTACAAACTTTGTATAAAGTATCAAGGAGTGAATGTTTGAAAAATAATTGAAGTAGTTGTATTCTATAAACAAATTAAAAAGCTTGTCAATTTTATTACATATCTTTGATTTTGAGTATGGATGTATCAAGATAAGATCCAGGGTACAATTTTCACATGGTAGCAGAGCGTGGTTGGAGAACTTGAATAACTAAAAAAGGATTAGCTTGGAAGTTGGTGCCTTGCAGTTGAAAAATAACGACAGATGTCACAAACTGGAACAATGGCGGAACAACAAAATGAGCTGAACTCCATAGAAAAACTTAAGGATTCAGAGGGTTACTCTCTGTGGAAGTTTCAAATAGATATTCTGTTGAAAGCGGCGGGTATTTACGGACACGTTGACGGTACAGAATTATGCCCTGAACCGGTAGAAGGAGAAGGTAAAACTGCAGTTGAAAATATAATTTCTAAATGGAAAAGACAGGATGCCAAGGTTAAAAAAATCTTAATTACTACAGTAGATAAAAGCGTGCTCATACATTTAATGACCAAAAGTACGGGAAAAGAAATGTATGACACTTTAAAAAGTATTTTTGAGCGTGATACCGATACTTTGAAATGTACGTTGTTAAGTAAATTCTATCAATTCAAATTTGATGATAGACAATGTGTTGCGGAAAATGTTGCATCACTACAAAACATTGCATTCAGGTTAAAGTCTTTAAACGAAAATGTATCGGATACTATGCTAATGTCAAAAATATTATTAATGTTACCTGACAAATTTTCTCATTTTGCAAGTGCATGGGAATCTACTGCTGTAGGAGAAAGGACGCTATCAAACCTGGTGGCACGTCTTTCAACGGAGGAACTAAAAACCAAATGTGATGACATTCCAGTGGAAGCTATTGCATTTAAAATTGCGGAAAGGACTAAGTACCGATGTAGAAAATGCAAGCAGCGAGGACATTTTGCACGTGATTGTAAAAGAAACTTAGATCGTTCGAATTCTAACAACGAGCTAAGACAACCGGAAAGACTGCATTGTACCATCTGCAAACGTAACAATCACGACACAAGCAAATGTTTCTTTAGAAATAGGGACAATCATCAAGGAAAAGATAAAGACCAGAAAAACGTCATTTTTCTAACAGGTAATGACCCCGATGGGAATTTAATCGTGGACAGTGGAGCCAGTTGTCATATGACGATTGATATAAGATTGTTGGAAAATGTAAAACATGCAGAACTCGAATTTACAGTTGCAAACAACTGTAAAATGGCGGGAACAGCTACGAGAACCATAAAAGGTAACAAGTGTGATCTTACAAATGTGGCGTGCGTTCCTGATGTAAGCACAAATCTCATATCCGTCACCATAATTACACAGAATGGCGGAGACGTAGTATTTGAGAAAGATAGTGTTATTATAAGAAAGGATGGTGAAGTTTTGACTAAGGGAAGGAAAACAAATCAAGGCTGGTACGCCGTAAACATAGAAAGTGAAAAACCCAAAGTCCTACTGACACAAGAAATATGGCACAGGAAGCTGGGACATCTTGGTACAAATTTGAAAAATCTTTGTAGCATGGCTGACGGCATACAATTTAGAGAAAATAAAGATTTCTCTTGTGAAGTTTGCATAAAAGCGAAACATGCAAGAACACCTTTCTTAGGTAGTCTTCCAGAAGCTTCGGAGGAACTAGAAATTATACACACGGATGTGTGTCAAATAGAACATGAATCGTATTGTAAAGAAAAGTACTTTATCTCATTTTTAGACGACTATACTCATTATTGTGAAGTTTATCCTTTCGAAAAGAAGTCGGATGTGGTAGAAATAGTCAAGAAATTTATCAACAAGGTGGAAACACAAAAGGGTAAGAAAGTTAAAGTTTTGAAATGCGACAATGGTACAGAATTTCTGCGATTAAAAGATTGGTGTGCGAACAAAGGAATTGTTATAAATTGGACCACTCCGTACAGTCCACAGCTTAATGGAAAAGCGGAACGTCTAAATCGTACATTGTGCGAAAAAAATGCGTGCACTGTTGTTTGACGCTGAAATTGAAAAGACGTTCTGGAATGAAGCATTAAGAGTAGCTTGTTATGTAACAAATAGGTCACCATCATCAGCGATAATTGGTAAAACTCGGAATTGAGGCCTGGACAGGCGTTAGACCAAATTTGAAGAATTTTCAAATTTTTGGTAGTGACGTGTATGTAAAGGTTTTGCCGAGTACAAAGAAATTGGAATCAAAATCGGTAAAATTGAAATTGGTTGGTTATTCAGCAATTGGATATCGTTGCTGGGATGAAAACAAACAAAGAATTGTAATCTCACGAGATGTGCAATTTGTAAAAGAAACAAAATCATCTGAAGATGTTTCTCAGATTGTTAGAGAAACACAAATTATTAATTTATCTGCTGGAACAAGAACGTAATAGTGATGCTGATGAGTCGTATAATGATATGCTGTTGCCAGAATATTAGAATGACAGTGACGAAAATTATTTTAATTCTGATATCATGGACGACACGGATTCTGAAGAAGGAAATAATGCAGATCTGAACAGAAAGGGCCTTCTAGGACTAAGAGATCGAACTCGTCTGGGACGACCAGCATATTTTAATGATTACGTTATGTTAACATACACTGACGTAATGAAAAGTGTAGATAAAGAGCTTTGGGAGAAAGCGATAAATGAGGAAAAAATGTCTATTGCGAAAAACAAAACCTGGATTCTTGTAAAAACCGAAGAAGCGAAAGGCACAAAAATTTTGAATAGCAAATGGATATTCAAAGGAAAAGAAAATGGAACCAGGAAAGCTAGACTAGTTGTAAGAGGTTTTCAACAAGAAAGAGGAATAGATTTTCAAGAAACATATAGTCCTGTGGTAAATATGACAAGTTTGCGAGTACTTCTTACTATCGTCTGCTGCTGCTAAAGAATTTAAAATAAGAATCTTTGATGTAAAAACAGCGTTTCTTCATGGGGAACTGAAAGACGAAACATTCATGCAAATTCCGGAAGGTTATCCAAAGAAGGAAGGAATGATATGTAAGTTACAGAGAAGTTTATATGGGTTAAGACAATCACCGTTATTGTGGAATCAAACTTTGACGAAGAGGCTCAACAAAATTGGACTGAAACCACTAAAATGCGATAGTTGTATTTTTAAAAATGAATCAAATACTGTCTATCTTGCTGTATACGTGGACGACGGAATAATTGTGGGGAAGAATTTGCAAGAGGTAGATGAAATTTTGAACAATATCAAAAAGATGTTCGAAATTACAGTAGATCATTCAGCAGGAACATTC